GTACTACAGTAGTGCAAAATAGCGAAAATTAGAGGACCACATTTGCAGTAGTGCTATAATAGTATCATGTTGGCACTACATGGCACTATAGAAAAAGCGATAGTGAAGAGTAGTTATAACTAGTACCAAGTATACTAATTAGTGCTTAGTTGCACTACTGAAGAAGTGCGTCTGAATAGTAGCTCTAATGTAGATGTCATCTCTGCTAACACTTGCTAATATAGATGAGATTATCTGAATAGTGATAATTAGTGTCAATTCGCAAAGGCTGTTTTTCCAGATGAATTTTGTCCCATCTGGTGTTGCTCGCATCCAGGATGCTGTGCCATAATATGGCGCATGGCGTCCGGAGGGTAACTGTTCTGTGATGCACATTCTCTGCCAGCCGTAGATGTAGACTAGATGTAGTTGAGAGCATGTAACAGATTAGCCATAATGAGCACTCACGTCACCGCGCACACCGCCATCCCAAATGGAGGATATCCATATGAAATAACCACCAAATATGTGGGGGGGGACTTCAACTATTTGGAGGAATCACGAGGACCAACAGCGCATGCAAACAGCCTATAATCCTCCCTACATAGCGCTCACACTAAATATTTGGCAAATATTTGGGGGAGGAGGTGTAGCCTCCTCCCCTCACTCCCTACATACATCTCAAATATTTGGGGTTTGCCTCGAATATCTGGGAGGGGCATCCCTCCAACCCTCTCAAATATTTGGAAGGGCCACTATAACATTTGGGCCAAATAATTCGCGTTTTACTATAACTATAAGGATTGAAAAATTTATTTAGTGTGTACTGGTGCAACGAGCCCCTCCTGCACTCCATCCTCGGCTGCGGCAAGCACCCACCCGTAATCTTTTCCGTCCGCCGATTTGAAGCGATCGTTCTCGCCAGGGTACGTGGTGCCGTGTACATCGATATATACGAAGTGCACGTCCCGGAGATCAAGTCGGCGAAGCTGGTCTCGAAGTTACCGACGGTTGGTGCCTTCTGTCCCTTGGTGCACTGTTTCGCGCCGTTACTGGGCTCGACATCGTAGTAGAGTAAGTCGACATCATCGGTGGCAAAGCCAAGGTGTTTCGTGAGCATCTCCTCGATATAGAATATGCCGTCGTCAGTACCGGTGCCGTAGCGAACGATGAGTGCCTGTTGTGGCAGCGTCGATGAAGTCGATCAACAATACTACTCCGAGCCTGGGACACAACAAGTGCGCACCTTCTTAGTGCCGAGCGACCTGAAGTCGGTCTGCATGATCTTGTTGCCCTCAGACTTGTCCCCATTCGGGTCCAACAGCGTGAAGGAGCCCTCCTTGCCGTGGAAGCTGAAGTCGTAAGTGTAGTACGACGCCTTAGACGTCGCGGTGACGGCCCCGCTGAGGTCAGCGCTGACGTTCTGGAAGACACCATTGACGGGGTAGTTCGTCTTCTGGTTCCCCGCAGCGTCGACCGTCCACTGGTGGTAGAGTCCGAAGAACGCGCCCTCGGAAACCCCGTCGGGGATAACGAGGGTAATCATCTCGTTTTCCGCCCAGGAGCGCCAGTTGAGCTTGCCGGTGTAGACTACGGTGGACGGCATGCGTGAAGCCTCGGCATGCATAGCGGGTAGGGTGAAGGGGCCGGCGGGGCCCTCAGACCGGCTGCGCATGAGGAAGGAAATGGACTTGAAGTCGGCGGCGACGGTCACGTCGACTCTGTAGTACCCGAAGGAGACATGGACGCGGTATTCGTCGGCAGTCTTGACGACGCTGCTGCTGATGCCAGACTGACTCGGGGGAACCGGCGTGCGTTAGCTGCGAGTGGAAGCTTGACTATAGAGGGGCACTTACGCGGGGCGTATTTGGTTTCTGGTTGCCTTTGGCATCGACTGTCCATTGCCAGTAAGCGTTGACAGGGTCGTTGAGTGCGAAACCGACGGGGAAGACGAAGGTGATGGTCTCGTCCAATGCATAGCGATAGTAGGTAAATTTGCCATTGTAGATGAACATGTTTGCTGTGGTGTTGAGAGCTTTCTGGCGCGAGAGGTGTAGTTGGAAGTTGGTTGTTGGTTGACGATTCCCTAACTCTCCTTATATACTGTCGACACAACAGTCCTAGACGCCAATAATGTGCGTCCAACGGGCCATTGTGAGTACAACGCGTCGACTCGTGCTGCACATGAGAGGTGGTACATGTAACTGACGTCAAAATGGATGCACACGTCCAAATGGACACCTCAGGCTGCCTGCTCAGCGTCCCACGCGTCCAGCCTGTTTAGCAACATAAGCAGGTATCCATTTCGACGTGGGCGTCCATACTGATGTCAGTAGACTTCTTTCGCAACTGTTCAGAATTGGACGTCCGGGCTCCTATTGGTGACGAACGGGCGAGGCGCCGATTCAAAATCGCTGGCGAAAGGTCATCTGTGGCGACAGGAAGGATGGAAGAGTAGAATAACACTTAGCACGGGCATCTCATGTCAATACTGTGGATGAAGGGTTGCGCTAAGACGTTGTGATGTCTCCCGGCCGCTGCAGCGTGATGTCTCAGGACCACCATATCGCCGGTGTAGACTGACAGCGACTCTTCATGCGGGAGGCTCCCAGACAGTGCTGGATGCAGAATTTCCTAGAGAGGCCATTGGGAGAGAACGTGTCCGGGGCTCCCGGAATGTTGTGAATGACACGAGTCCGGGACGAGTGCATCTCCATCACGAAGACCTCACTAGCCCCCCGTTTGAGAGTATTGCGCGTACGACGGCGACATGATTGAAATCCTCATAGCGTGACCGAGGCATCGCGTGGTGTTCAAGTGTGACGACTTCTTCAGTCCCGGCTTCCGCTCCATTTCTTGCACTTGGTCGCTGTAGATGCATTTCCAGCGATTGGTTGAGACACGAAACTACACGTATGCGGCGTTATGTGACAAGAACAGGTAGACTTGCATTACCAGATATCTTACATGAGCACGGGCTTCCCTTTCAAGCAGCGGGTCCGACAACGTCGGCACCTGGTAACAGCCATCGGAAAGTGAGACTGAGCCTCATGTCCCGCTCGAGTAAGACGTTCTGCGGGCTGTCATGATAAGCACACTTCCTTTCGGTGTATACAGTGCGCATTGACCGGGTGCAGGAGAGGGCGACCCTAACCAAAGTGTCGGTTGCTGGCGTCGTGGATGATCTTGGAGCCCTCAGCGACATCTTCAGGACTTTGATCTAGGATGACGGCGCCTGTGGTATCGGAGAGAAGGGTGAAATCCATGGTCGTTGAGTAAGCCGTGATCGTCATCTCGACATTGAGCTTGGAGATGGAAGTTCGGACCGTGGATTGCTCCTGACCCCGCCATGTGAGAAGCTCCCTTGGAAACCATCTTCGCTCCAGGAGCCATTGCTGCATGTATTCAATGTGCTCCAGAAGCCAAGATGGTAGAAGTGAGAGACGTCTAAGGTGTCCGCATCCGCGAGCAAGAGCTTGAATGATGTGCAATGAAGTACGTAATCAAATACCCATGTGCAGCGCTGAGCAGCGAAGAAAATCGCATACGTCGGGGGTGACAAGTAGCAGCAGTCATTCCAGATGACAGGTAGGATTGTCGATCCGACAACGAACGACATCACGAGGCTGACGAGGACGCTCGAGACTACCGCAACAGTGGTGTGCAGGTTCGACAGGAGAACCAGGAGACCGGCATAGAACAGGGCGAGCGAGAGTTGGAGCAACACCGGCAAAACAGCGACAATCTCGGCCACGCGCCACTTGATGAGATTGTTCAACCTGTACTGACGGAGCTGGGCAGATTACGGCGATGAGCCCGACAGGCCGGATTGACACTCGTGAGTCCATTGCTTGACCATGATGCCCACAGACGCGGAGGCGAGACTACAGATAAGCCCAGAGAACCAGAGAATGTTAAGTGCGGCAGCCCATGGCTCCGCTTGTGAATCCGGAACAGTTGCCGCGACATACGGCTGCTCAGTAAAGTTGATGAGGGGAGCGTTCGGGGGAAAGCCGTCGAGCTGGAGACACCACTTGGCCAACACAGCGAGCGGGATCGGGGGACGGCTTTTGGAGAAGTTGATAGGATTGGACATTGAACGCTGTGAGGATCGCTGAGAAAAGACCCGCCTGCGCGCGAGAGAACGGGTCATTCCTTCTGTAAATTGGAGAACGGACGAAGCTACGCACGTAAACTAGAAGTGTGTCTATCTCTTCATTCCACCTCTTTACCATGCGGTCGCTGTACTCTTGTACAATCTTAGCTGTTTTCGAGAATGCTTCTTCTTTCTCGGCTAGAGTGTAGGTTTCTCAAAATTCTCTCTTGAGATCCTATCGCGGGTACAAACATCTCGGTTCAGTTAGTTAGTCACTGTAGAGCGGGTCAAAATATTACCTGTGAAGGGGGCACTCTCCAGGGGAGGGATGCGTCGAGTATGTTGTCAGGTACAACCTGTACAGATATCGGCTCTGTCAACACCGATCTGTAGCTGATCATTGAGATGCACATACAGTGGACCCAGCGGTCTGACCTTTCTGATCCTCGACGGCTGGTGTACCGGTGGGATTCAGAGGAGCACTTTCTGAATCGTGACGTTCCACCGAGGTAGCATGTACAATGGGAACGATCTGAAAAATGAATCCATGCCAAGTCAGGGGTTGTGTCATGGAGTTTGCATGGTAAAGGCGGTTCAGCAGAGGGAGAGCTTGTTCCTCGAAATGTTGTGGAGAAGAGCCTACCGAGCTAAGAATATAGTCAGCAGTTCAACGTTGAGGACGTCGACGGTGAAGCTGCGGCAGCGGGATGGCCAGCTCCTTGATCGTCCCGTGAGAATTCGGTCACGGGACAGGCGCGTCGCCACAGACGCGTCAATCACTGGCAGATGCTTGGGCGCTCAGGCTGCACACCTCTTGCCCTCTCCCCTTCGCCATCCAGGTTCCAGGAGTTGCACTCAGGCGACACCACTCCCTATGAAGCTTTTTGGTCACAAGTAATACTGACACTGACACGAACACAATATCTCCATATTGCTTTGGAACTCGTCTCGAGAGCTGTGGTGAACCACTACCACATAGTCGCGTAATTGCGGCTATCGCATAATATGGATGCGTGTAGCAAGTGAGTAGCTATTCATTAGCAGAAATTAGCCCCTCTATTGGACTCTCTAATGCTGCACTTAGCGTGTTGAAGAAGAGTTCGTGAGACTCTTAAGTCACAGAATAATGTCTGCTGATTCGACTGCTAGCTTTCGGGCACTCGACATTCCGAGGCAAACAAGAGGAGATCGTGGAAGCCGCCATACTTGGTGATGCGATCCGGAAAGCTTTGTGGAAATTCCTAACCCTCATACGCAGGCTCTGACGTACTAGTGATTGCCCCGACTGGCATGGGCAAGGTTCGTGGCCGCTGTCTTGAATAGAAGCAGCCGCTCCTGACGTCTCCCCCAGAGCTTGTGCTTTCAAGTGCCCGCTGTTGCTGCTCAAGTAGGTGATAACATGAGGACTCGTGTCTTCCATGCTGAATGTACTGACCCAGCATGGTGTGACGGTGGTCGTATCCCCGCTGATAGGTATGCCATCCGTCCCGATACTCTCACGTGGCTGACAGTCTTGCCCGAAGCTCTGATGAAGAACCGTAAGACCCACGGCACAATACGAATATGTGTGAATTTTGTTCTGACTGAGTTGTAAGAGATATCAAAGCTTCGCGATTTGGGTATAGCCGTTGCGGCTCTCACTTCTGAGACTCCTTCGAGAGACAGAGCTTATGTGCGTTCGTTGCCATATAGCGTCGTAATTACGCTGACATGTCGGATACAGGCACTCCAAGATCTCCGCTCCGACGAACCGTCTATCCGCCTGCTCTACAGTACGTTTTCAATTCTCCACCACAGCAACTCCTTTAGTGACCACGACTTGCAGTCAGCCCCGAGAAGTATTGCTCTACCGAGATCCGGCACCTCCTGAATGGACTGTACGAGAAGGACGCGCTGAACCGCCTAGTAGTCGATGAGGTAAATGACTTCGTGACTTCTGCCAAAGCGAGCTGACCACAAAGCTACCCTTGAAGGCGCATTGCATCTCAGTATGATGAACTGTGTGACTGTAGTTCGCATATATGCTGATTCTGATGATAGGAATGGGGGCACGACTTCCGAGAGGAGTACAGACGGTTGGGTTCGTTCAGGGACAAGTATCCCAACATACCTATCATGGCCCTGACAGCCACCGCGACGGACACGTACGCGACCTTCAGGCATGAGATCTCACTTCTAGTTTCCTGAAGTGCTTGCAGCGTTCAGCAGGATGTCATCCGAACTTTGAAGATGTCCGCTAAGCGCCTCTTCGTGGCAGTCCATCCATTCAATCGTGCCAACCTATTCTACGAGGTGGGTTCAGCTCAACGTTCCCTCCGCGCTGGCCGTGTGACAGCCTGACTCACCCCTTTCCCAACCTGTAGGTCCGCTATCAATCCAATCCCAATCCTACCGCTCACATGATGGATGTGTACGAATACATTGAGAATCTGCATCGAAGGAGAGGACGCGCGTCCTCTGGGATTGTGTACTGTCGAACGCGCGCCTTATGCGACGAGCTCGCGCTGTTCCTCAGCAAGAAAGGTATACAAGCCAAGGCGTATCATCGTGGGCTGAGGTGGGCCTCAGAGTCATACGGTCCATCGTACAGCTCATGAGTCGTGGTGCTGCAGCAACGCGGTCTTGGACAAGACGCTGAAAGACTGGGATGCGGGTGGCAACGGCGTACCCGGTGGCGTGGACGTGGTATGTATCTTGCACGAACGTCTTATGCGATGTCTTAAGCAAAATTAGGTCTGTGCTACCATTGCATTCGGCATGGGCATTGATAAGGCAGATGTCCGGTGGGTCTTGATTGTTCGTATTCGTGGGAGTCAGCTTACGGGTAGCTTATCACGTTGGCAGCTATGTCCTTCACTTCAATCTACCGAAGAGCATTGAAGGCCAGTACCGCAGCCTATGCGCATTTCATATACCCGTCGCTGATAGGGCCGTAGGGTACTACCAGGAGACGGGCAGGGCAGGCCGTGATGGTTTGGTGCGACCCTCGTGTTGATTTCGCATTTCAGGAAGTTTACCCCCTCTTACAGCCGGCCAAGTGCATCCTTTTCTATTGTGAGTACGTCGCAACTACTCGGCAGGCCGCCTTTTGAACGTCACGTAGCAAGAGAGGATGCGGCACGCGTGAAGCAGTTCGTATCCGATTCCCATTCGAAGCGCGTCGTCCGAGCGGAGTCGGGGAATGGTCCGGAACCCAGCCAGAGGGCTGCAGATAGTGTCTCCGCTGTAAAGAATGCCCATACCATTGAGGACCATCTAGTCAAGCACTGATGACGACCCTTCATCAGCTCCTTGACTTTGCGGAGAACGTCAACATATGCCGACACGTCGTGAGTGCGAACTTGACTGCTGACGGTACGACTGTGGTCCCATCAGTGTTTCAGTTGATTTGCCGGTACTTTGGGGAGAAGATTGACTTGCGAGACCCCGAGGTGACCAAGCAGTATTGCTCCCAGATGTGCGATGTGCGTCATGGTCTACTCCCTGCTGTGCTCGCGCTCGCGTGCGTGTCTCATAAACTGCCGTGTGTAGGTCTGCAAGTACCCAGACAAAGCGCGGAAGCGCAAGCTTCACTTGTCTTCGCCAGAGGACGTCGACTCGCAGCCGTGGCTGCAAGGGAGCCGTGCTCAGTTCGACGATGCGGGCGCACGAGCAGAGTCGCCTGGAAATGTTCCTCGCAGGCTGCCTTCGGGGGATTCCTTCGACCCCAGGCCGGGCCCCTCAAGAACGTCCACCAAGCGATCGAGCTACCCAGACAAGATGGCCCACGAGTCCTCAGGCTCAGGTTCATCGAAGAAGGTGAAGACGGCTCCGCCTCCTGTGCCAGTCCCTATATGTAAGTGGCCCACGACCGAACAGCTGGAAGGTTGGTATGGAGCTGAGTCCGATATAGCCGTGTCGCTTAGGCAGTCGTTCCGCAAGCCCTTCAAGACGCCATTCCTCAATCCAAACGCGGTGAAGGGTACGGCTGGGAGCGACGTCTCCAGCCGCACCGTTCCCGCGAAGCGTCCGTCTCCGGCGCGATCAATACTGCCAAACGTTGTTGACAGATATGAGGATGATGACGATGTTCGATTCGTGTCGCCGCCTCCAGACAGAGGCAAAGGGAAGGACAGGGAGTCGATCAACGCACCAATCGAACTAGACACAGGACCTTCGAATTCCGCAACACAGCCAAGCAGCCAAAGCGAAGAGCCCGAGGATCACCGTGCATGTACGTGTATGCGCCCCGTGGCTGGTGCGCTGCGGGCCCAATGCTCACCACGTGGCTCCCACGACAGCATCTCCCGCCACACCGACGTCGAGCTCGACGCAGCGTATTCGCAGAAGATCCCGGTACGTCGACGTGTATCCCTCTGTCTATGTCGAACATATGCCCACGCTCAACCCCACCCGCGCGGCACAACGCCCACCCCAGGCCCACGTACGCCAAGCTCACTTCGCAGCGCTGCACAGGGCCCTGCACAAAGTGCTCCCGACCTACCCCGCCAGCACGGCCCCGTGGGCGGCGCCCTGGACCGGGCTCAAATTCGCAGCAGCGGACACGGAGACGAAGGACGGCGTGCTCGCGAACGTCGCGCGCGAGCTCGAGTTCGGCGTGCAATCGCTCTGCCGGACCACGGACGGCTACAGCGAGCGCGCCACGGCGCAGATCAGGGCGGTGAAGATGCTCGCGCGGAAGGAGGCGTGGACGGCAGGCACAGGGGCCGGGGCCGCTGCCTGTGATGAGCACCTCGAGGACGCGACGGAGGTGGCAGACGTAATCCGGCAAACGTGCGAGCGGGTGCGGAAGGGGAAGGGCAGGCCGACGTAGCTTATCTTGTCGGGGACGGGTCCGCGATCTTCGCATGACGATCTCCCGTTATGTTGAATGGCGCGGTTACTTTGGCTATTGCACGCACGTTCCGTACGTCACTCGGCACGTTCGCTCCTATAGACATAGCTCTAGAAGCTCAGTCGCGAAGACTGGATGCATCCCGGAGTCTTAAGGTTGCACGCAAGGTGTTCGTCGGAAAAATATTCCAAATCGATTGCACTCTAGCTATCTAAGTCTACTCGAAAGAAACGCGAGACTACAAAGCGGACGAGAGGTGCGTCGAAGAGCGACTGGAGGAGAGCATCTAGAATATAATGTACAGCTATTTGTACAGGGAATCCAGATGATTGCGTTGTACGAGACAAATAATGATGCGGGAGGGCATACTAGAACATCAGAGAAGGGGAATAATCGCGGTCGTCGAGACTAGCATGGGCCACAAAGCGTGAAAGCGGACGATAAAAAAAGAAGCCAAGGGCGGTCCGAGAAGGGCGAGCTGCAGCGCCAGCTCATGCAGAGGCCTTGATCTCGAACCTGAGGCGGTCGCCCTCCGGGGTGACCGTGACCTGCTCCATCGTGTCGACGATGAAGTGCGCGCCGCAGTTCTCGATCTTCGACCTCTCGTGGCTCGTGCACACCGCGATGACCGTCGCGCCCGACGCGACGCCCGCGCGGATGCCCGAGGGCGAGTCCTCGAAGACGACGCAGCGCTTCGCGTCGTACCCGAGCTCCTTCGCCGCGAGCAGGAACGGGTCCGGCGCGGGCTTGCCGGCCTTGAGGCGCTTGTCGTCCGCGGTGATGGTGACGTCGGGCGGGGTGATGCCGACGCGCGTCATGCAGCCGTACGCGTACGTCTTCGCGCCCGAGGTCGCGACGGCGTACTTGCCCTTCGGGATCGCGTCCATGACGCGCTTGACGCCGGGGAGGATGCGCACGGAGCGGTCGACGGCGGCGGCCTCGATCTGCCACGCCTGGAGCTGGTGCTGCTTCTCGAGGCTCGTGCGCCAGTCCTTGGTGACGCCCTCCTCCTCCTCGGCGATCGTCTCCTCGAACGTCGCGGCGTTGCCCTCGGGGATGGTGTTGGGCGACATGGAGAGGAGGGAGGAGACGCGGTGCAGGAAGGACGGGCGGCGGAAGGCGGCGAGCTGTGCGAGGTTGCCGACGAATGATGATGCACGCGATGATGAGCGGGACGCGGGTGCCGAGTTGGAGGGCGTGAGGGCGGGTGTCGCGGCACCGGAGGAGAGAGGCGTGCCGGGTTGGGAACCGGGGCCGTGCCTATTGTAGGCGTCGGCGAAGAAGAGGATGGACTCCTCGAAGGCTTGCACCTCTGAGTCCATCTCGTGCTCCTTGATATGGGGCTTGAACTGGGCGAGGTTGTCCACAGCGCGCTTGCCGTGTGTGGCGGCGATCACGTATGCTGGGTCCTGCCCAATGTCCTTGGCGACCTTCCCCCAAGCTGCCTCGACGGCTGCGATGGAATCAGTGAGGGTACCGTCCTGGAAGAGGTGTTGTCAGTAAAATCATACTGCAAGCAGACGACAGTGAATTTCACCAACCATGTCAAAGAGGACGGCGTCGGCGTAGAAGGAAGTCTCGGGGTTGATCGACATGTTGGAGGGTGTAGTGTTTAGGAAGATGTCGTTGGGAGACGTTGTCGTCGGAGTCGACTATGGAGAGGTAGAGAGGGCTTGTAGCTTGGCTGTGAAGCTGCGAAGTGAGGAAACCCGTCCTCAGCCATGGCGGATATATATGTCTCTGGATAACGGGCGTCAAGTGAGTAGGGTCAATTTTCGCGAGAGCATGGTGGCTCTGTGGATGAAGTGGAGCCATGTCGCACCCTCGACTGAAAGTTCGCGAGGCGCCGGGACAAACAGTTGCCACCCGGCTGACAAACGCATTTGGCGACGGCAGATCATGCCGCTGCGCTTCTTTCCTTCCTCTTCTCTTGCCTATTCGGGAGACGCGCGAGAGAAACCACAAAAATCGATGGGCGTTGAGTCCCAATCAGGCAATGCGAGAGCCTTGATGGAGCCCTGAGATCGCATCTGCCGTACGTCCGCTGCGCCCACTTCGCGCCCTGTTACCTCATTCGTCTCTGGCCACCCCGAAAACATGGGCCTTCCTCAACATGCCGACGTCCTGGAGCATTCACATGAATTGCTGATACGGGGTTACTTGTGGAGCCGCCTTCACGTACATGGGCTGTCCTGTTCCTCTGTCCGAAGATCAGCAAGCATCCTGGCAGACAAAGCAAGAATCAGACCCCCGTATCCGCCGAGGATAAGACTTGCATGATGACCTCAGGCGGTGCCACTCGTAGTGAAAGCAGCGGTGGCGAGACGCTCGCGTATTTTCGCTGGGCGCCGACGATCGACAGACTCCGGAGCGCCCAGATAAGCTTTTCCTCGCGGAAATGGTGTCAAGTCTCGGACATCGTCTCTCGACGTACCAGCGCGACCGGGGATCCCGACTCTCGCTGCGACGACTCCCTATCTGTGGTACTGCGTGTGTCGGGACGCGTTACTGATTATCCGCGCCTATGCTGCAGCACCCCCGACGTGAACAATTCCGTTCGCGCGGTGGAGCGCCTCGACAGCACCCGACTCGAAACACAACGTCGGCCATATCTGGAAGCGCGCTCCACCATCGCGGCTCACGCTAGCCGGGGTGCCTTCCTTTTACGCCCACACCGCTCTGTTTTGCACACCTCTGCCAGAACGCGCCGTCCTCGGATTGGCCCAAGCCGTCTCAACGACCACCCCATACGCCACCGCCGGCTACCCGAGCCGTCATACTCAGCGTCAAGTGCAGCAAGGCACTCTTCGAATTCGATGGTCGCACACGCTCGCAATCACGGACGTGCACCCTGTTTCTACGCGCCAGAAGATGCCCGAGGGGGGCGATACCACACCTCCGGGACCGGACACCCTCCTCGTCGACGCCTCGACGGTGAACAATGACGCCACCCTCGCCACGACGCACACTTGTCGCGCGCACCCGCATCTCGAGAGATGCCCCTTACGTCCGGCAAGCCGTCCGTCGCGCATCGGCATGCACGGGCTCCCAAGCGGACGTGGGCAAGGTTCCCTTCTTCTAAGTGCGTTCGCGCTAGCGACCGACCAAACTATTCCGCTCGGCGCGCCCGTGGCCTATCGGGCGGCGTGATGGGACCCCATTTCTCTGCTCGCGCACCCGGACAGCGCGTGTGTGTGGGTGGCAACGAAGTCACGCCGGTGAGCATAACCAGCAACGCGGCGCGGTGCGAGCCAAGACGCCTGCTGGCGTGGCAGCAGAGCAGCAAGGCCTTTCCCCCAAAACGTCATCGCATCCCTCTACGGTGCAACAGTGTTCCCAAGAAGCCTGGCAGCGCCCGTCTAGCAGCCGCTTCGCGCGGAAGATAAGGCGCGACCCACGGTTTTCAGTGGCATAATCACAGACGGAGAAGACGCTTCCGCTCTCCTCAGGCCTCTTTGTACACCGCCTTCGCCGGCCTGCCTGCGCACCCCAAATCGCGGGTGGAGCATCATGACAATGCGAATTGAAGCTTTGCTTTCTTGAGCCCTCGCTGAGCATTGAGCACTTTACGTGCTCTCCACCGGGCGGCTGATAATAATCAGCGAATGCGCGAGCGAAGAGCGGTTTGGGCCGCTTCCATGTCCCTGCACATCAGTACAGTGTACAATGATGCGGTGGCACCGGGCGTGGCGTACGTACAGGGAGGCGGTAGGTATAGGAAGAGCGCGGCGTTGACATACCACATTGAGTCATTTGCGCTATCGTGCTCCGTCCACATGAACGGCGACGTCGTCGACGTAAGTGCAAACCGTTCGCATCCTAGGAATGTCGTCCAACATTAGCTGCCTCGTAATGCCCACTCCTCACGTAGATCAGGGCAACAGGGCATCTGTTCTCCGCGGGGTCCGCCGATTGGGCGGACGTCATCACAACTCGTGCTATATGACCTACAGACCTGACATGGTTGCGGCCCCTGTACCCAAGTGCACGTAAAGCACCGCTTTGCAGCAAGTACTGGCACGATCGCTCTCGGTCATGAGGGCACGGCAACACCGCGCCCGTATCTCCGAGCATACAGCGGCGTCGCGTCGGTAGCTGCGCTCCATCACATATGCACGCTCAGATCCCAAGACCGCCCGAGACGCCAGATCCGCGACGGTCGACGGGACAGCCCAGGTGACCAGACCCTGGGAGCAATCTGTGGGCACCTATGGGTCCCGTCCTACCTCCGTCCCCGACGCCAGCCCGGAGTCCGGGCAGATCACCCGGACTTCGCGAGCGTCGACGGCGGACGCTGAACACGGCCGTACGTACTCGTCCGCAGCTCTTCCCATAAAGGCCTTGCCGCGAGAACAGACTTCGGTCCGACCATGTCTCCCCGTACGTCACTCTTCCCGTATTACTGGGATTCATGGCCTGAGGCATCCCCACACCCCCGCATATCGTGACACGCTCAAGAAGGACAGCGCGGACATTCAACGTAAACCCCTACATGCCAAAGCTACAAACGTTCGTACCGTACTGTAGAACCCTCATGTCCGTAGCACATCGTGGCCGTGCAGCGGAACGACGACGTCCTCCATATCGTCGTCGTCGCTGTCTTCCCCTCCCAGCTCGGACACATCTGTCTGCGCCCCGCTGGCATTCGCGAGTGTGGGTGCAGTAGAAGGAAAGGCTTCGGGGAACGCATTTACGTCAAAGCTGAGGTGGGTCCCCGAGTAGGCTGCGATTGGAGGAGGGGGCAGATTGACACTCTTCGGAGGTCCGGGTGCGGATTGAGGTGCAGGTTGCACAAGCGGAGGTTGTGACACCGGACGGTCGCTTTCAGGAGGCGCTCCGTGTGCGGGTCGAAGGGGAAGCGCCGGTGATTGCGCCGAATGCGTTGAAACGATCGGTCCCGCAGACGCTAGGGGAGGGACAGGTGCCTCATCCTCGTCCTCGTCCGCCTCCGCGATCTCCGTGAGCTGAGCAGCCAATAGCGCCAGCTGCGCCTGCAGCGACGCGCGCTCGTCGTCCGTTAGAGTTGTCCGCGGCTCCGCCGCGCTGGACGCCGCGGCAGCAGCGTCCGCAAGCGCGCTCAGCACAGCGTCGATATCCCCAGCGTCCGCGGTGCTTGGCGGGAGTACCGCGCCAGACCCGGATGAGCTGCCTGGATGGGGATCCGACGACGCGTCTGCGCCCCCGCTCGCGATGTTGCCGAAGTTGATGGCCTGGAGAATATGTTGCGCGGCCTCCCAGGCGTCGCCCTCGTCCTTCTCTTCGCTCGCGGGCTTTGCAGGGGCTTTTGAAGCAGCAGGAGCGGGATGTGATGGAGCCTGCTCGGCGCGCTTCTCCTGAACGGGTTGCGGTTGTTGCTGCTGCTGTTGATGCGGCTGAGCATACCCCGCATAGTGGCCGTATGGATACTGATACTGGTATCCGTTGTAGGGCGGGGGATGTTGTCCATGGGCGAGCTGGTTGTTTGGGTGGTTGTGTTGGTGGAGAGGAGCTTGCGTGAAAGGAGGAGGAGGCGGCGGGGGAGAGTGATGCATCGCGTACGTCGTCTGCGCGAGCGTCTGTGGCCGTCTTGTCGTCCGTTTCGCCGTCTGAGATTGACCGAAATAAGCTACGTGTATTACAGCATGCAAATGATCGTACGTACCGCGCCGCCTTCCCAGTTGGGGTTCAACCTGTACTTTCCGCCGGCCAACTTCTCGAACCTCCCTCTCTTGTAGGCCTTCTGCAGGGCCTGGCTCGCACTGGGGCGGAAGTTCGTTTGCAGAGGATACCGAGAGGCCATCCAGGTGAACAGATCCTTCGGTGCGACACCCTCGGCATCTCCGCAGTCCATAAGGGCCTCGACTAACATCTCCTCGTACGACGGAAGGTCCTCGCCAGATGGCGGCGGTGGCTGGGGCGGGGGGTTAGGTGGGTGTGCAGGTGGGCGAATGAGGGGCTGCGAGCTAAAAAGTTGGCCAGGAGGATGCGGTGGAGGTGGCGTGTGCCCTGGCGGAGGCGGAGGATAGCCCGGAGGCGGTTGATGGGGATAGTGGGGATACGAATAGTGCGGAGGATAGGCAGGTGGAGGAGGGTAGTAAGGTGCGTGAGGGTATGCGGGTTGCTGAGCTTGCTGCGGCGGTACAGCGTACCCGTAATGCGCATAGGGATATGGTGCGGGAGGGTGGAGGATGGCTTGTTGAGGCTGGCCCAATTGAGGCGTTCCAGAATGAGAGCCAGCCGCGGATGGATGGGGAGGAGGGGCAGCGCAGGGTGTGTTTTGGCTGGTTGACGACGTCGAGTCGCCGTTGGTTCGAGGGGCGGGGGATAGCGCATGTGAACTCACAGAAGAGTCGGGAACACTCGCCTTCGCTTTCGCGCTCTCTTTGGCCTCCTCTCGCAGTGAACCCATAGGCGGGACCTCCACTCGTATCGGGTCTGGCGGAGGGGCTGGAGATGCATAGAACCCTGGCGGATGTACCTGATGTGTGGATGTTGGGGTCACAGTCGGATTTTGCGAGGTCTGAAATACGCCATTCGCCACCGGAGTAACGAGGGGGGCATGGACATTCTGGTTAGACTGCGGAGGAAGCTTGGACGACTTGTTCAAGAACGGGGCCTTTTCCTTCAGCTCAAGGATAGCGGCTTTTAGGTCGGCGGGCCAGACGGACGTCCTCACGTTCGGCGGGACATGGGGCTCAAATAGCAGGCAGATCTCAATGATCTGTTCCTGGGGCAGGAGGCTCAGGTATGTTCGCTTAGTGCCGATGACTGCATGCGCATCTGAGCTCTGTGCGGACGCAGCCGTTTTGGAGTCATCCTGGGTACTAGCATTGCGATCAGGTGTTGCGCTCGACGACGAAGACGAAGCGAGTGCGTTCTCGGCTAAGGCGATGTGAGCAAGAGAGTAGATAGGTTATAATGGCGGCGTAAGGTACCTGTACCGTTTTGTGCGGAAGAGCCCACAGGAGGCAGGGATGGGTCGGTAGTGTCGACCATCGACGGGAGGCTGCACGGACCTGTACAGTCGCTGTGCAGTTTTTGCTCTCAAGATTCTCAGCCACACGCGTCCCCGTCAACGGCGCCAACCCCGATCGCCCGTAGCCGCCCAGCAGTCCTGCCCCTCTCGACCATGGTCAATCTGTTCGATGCCTCCAGCCTCGCAGTTCAGCCTCTTTATCCAGCTCTTTAAATGGTAAGAAATTCTTTGTCGCTGTCATGTGTTTGATGGATGGTGTGTAACCCTCAAGGCTTGGCTTGGTACTCACATTGCCGTGGGCATTCGCAACCTGAATGCCCCGCTGGGTCTTTCATCCATGTCCGGGCCGGGGAAGCGCTAGGCCGTTTCGCGTCAATTCAACTTTGAGTCGATTGCATCGAACGTCGCGGTCCGCTCTCACGCTATATTTGTTCCTGTGCGTATGCGACACCTGAGCCTACAAACTGAACATTTGGGCGAACGAACCGCCAAACTACAGTGTCGTGTTTAGTCGCGAGCTTCTCCAGCGTCTTTCTTCGTCATCTGGGCGGATGACCTGGAATGCCATCGATAACGGGCCCGACTGGGTATTCATTTCAACTCGATAGCATTCCTCAGATGATCGAGATTCCACTGGACCTCCCGTACTTATATAAGAAGGGCCTTTGCCGTACCTGACGGATTCGAAGCTTTGCTGTTCCAACCAGACCCTCGGCATCTCCATCAGCATGACGAAGCAGGTCGTTTTCACCGAGGAGGCCAACCCCCCTCTCCCCATCTACTGTGAGCATGAATGAGAGACCGAGCAGCGTAGGTCTAACAGACTTGTAGCCCAGGCCATCATCTCCGGGAAGACGATCTATGTCTCGGGTAGCATTGGGATTGACCGCGAGTTCAAGCTCGTCGAGGGTGGTGTCCAGGCGCAAACCGTGAGTGCTCCATTTGCATCAGACTTGTGGCCACACGGCTCACGACTCGCGGCCGCCACAGCGCGCTGCCCTCGACAACCTCACCAAAGTCCTCAAGGGGGCAGGTGTCACCCGTGACTCTGTTCTGAAGGTCAACATCTTCCTCACGAACCTCCAGCGTGACTTCGCGCCGCTGAACGAGGTCTACCAAGAAGTAAGCCCTCCCCGGCTGTTCCTCAACACGGTTGTTGACGCTTTGGACGTCCGATAGTACTTCCCTACGAACCCCCCTGCACGCACTTGCATCGGTGTCGCGGCCCTCCCTCTTGGTGCTGATGTGGAGATCGAGTGCATTGCCGAACTTCCCTGAGGGAAGCTATGCGCCGGATTATGAGGCCTTGAGGGATGAGAAGTCAATGACTTACTGTAATGATATTCACCTGAATTTCTCGAGCATTCCTCAAACGTGCTTGAAAGCTCCGCCGGCTTAGACTTTGAGTGCGGTGAGCCTTGTGGCTGTCGCAGCGCATCGAGCGGTGCCCAGGTAAAGACCGTGGTGATATGTAGGAGTATCGTAGACGCCCATATAGGACGATATAATCATTACAAAATCAGGTACAGTGCGCGCCGCGAGTACGTCATCGCGACGCGTTGCCTTTCTCGCTCTTTCGATCATGCCAGGTACAGACGCGTCCTCTCCCGGCCGTACTCTAGACTGTTCCTCTATACAACCTCCATCTACGCTCTGCTTCATCTCTCTTTGCTGCTTCACACATCTTCTCTAGACATTAGATGTCGAAAGTCCAGCTCTACGTCTACGATCTCAGCAATGGCCTTGCCAAACAATTGTCCCGGCAGCTCACTGGGAGGCAGATCGACGGAATCTGGTACGCAAGCTCCAGCATTGTTGTTGTAGCACACAGACCGAGGTGATACGAATGAAGCGCAGGCATACTTCGGTAGTTGTCTTTGGGAAGGAAGTATTCTATGGCCAGGGTATCTTGATCACAGCACCCGGCCAATCTCATGTGTGTACTCCCTCTACTTTACTTTACCCCGACTATGTCGCTGACTGAGCTGCAGCTTGGGAGGCCCCTGCAAGTAGTAGATATGGGAGAGACTGCCATAGATGAAGAGACTTTCGATGAGTACCTCAACGAGATTAGTAGTCACTATACGGCAGACAAAGTGAGAATCCTCTGCCATAAATCCTGAAAAGCTATCTGACATAGACTTCTAGTACCATCTACTAGGTAGGTCGATTACGAAAGCTACACTCTGTGCATGCTCACCTCAGAGCAGACTTCAATTGCAACTCGTTCACCAACGATTGCGTCGGGTTCCTTACGGGAGGATCTATACCGTCGTGGATCAAAGGTGCGTGCGTGTCTGGTCTCATTGACCTTCACAGTCTCATGTGAATCGAAAGATCTTCCATCCGACTTCCTCTCTACGCCCTTCGGAGCTGCTCTCCGCCCAACCATAGACGCAATGTTCCGTCGCCCTTTCCCGGGAGCGGCGCCCACACCGCCCCCAGCACCAAACGCCGCTGCACTCCAGCAAGCCGCGTCTGCGTCTCCGAATCCTGCGCTGGCATCTGCTCTACTGCAAGCCGTCGCGTCTCAAGCGCAATCTACTGGTTCCCTCTCCGCTCCAACGTCTCTTCCTCGCGCTCCCGTCCCCGGCAGCTCAACGGTGGCCGCGCCTATTCACATCTGCACAAATTCCTCTTCGCTGCACGGACTTTTGCAGTCTCATCGCGCTGCGGTCGTGTACTTCACCTCAGCCACCTGTGGTCCGTGCAAGATGATCGAGCCTGTCTTCGAGGAGCTCGCGCATCAGAAGACGCATGGGGTTGATGGCGCTCGTCTAGCGTTTGTGAAGGTGGACATGGCGATGGGTTCGGGAGGCCAGGCCGGCGCTGAATGGGGCGTGCGGGTTACCCCTACGTTCTTGTTCTTCCTCGAGGGGAAGAAGCAGCACGAACTGAAGGGCGTGAACGCTCCCGAATTGCGTACCCAGGTTGATCTGCTTCTCTATCAAGCCTTCCCTCGTATGTGCTCTTGTCCATCCGCGCGAGTGGGTGCTGACCAAGGTCATTTAGCACATCCTCATACGAAGTTATCACTCCCTGCTGTCGAGGCGCTCTCTATGAACCCTATTTTATTCCAGCAGATTCCTCCTTTAGACACCGTATCGGCCAAGCTGGTTGCTTCCATCGATGCCGCGTCTTCATCAGCAGACTTGCAGACTGCGAAACAAGCCATTGTAAGCGCGGTTCTTCCTTACCTGAAGTCCCGGTTCCAAGAGAAGTCCGCGGAAGCGAAGAAACCAGCCATCCCCGCTACGCCGCAATTACTGACCAGCTTCACCACCGCGACCAAGAGCCTCGTGAACGCCCTCCCGCCTGTCCAGCTCTTCCCTCTAGTCGACATGTGGCGGCTCGCTGTGGTCGATGACTCCATTGTCGCCAACTGGCTCGCTACGACGACAAATCCCGACGCCCTACAGGCCCTGCTTGACAAAGCACTCGAAGCGCTTGACTCGTCCGACCCCGCGCAGAAGTCCTCAGGACGCAATTATATCCTCACCGTCCTCCGCCTGCTCGCGAACGGCTTCGCACACCCGACGCTCTCCCGCGGGCTCCTCTCCCGTGCGCCGCCCGCGGGCAAGCGGCCGCAGGTGACGCGCATTGTAGTGTCGACGCTCCTGCACGAGGACGCGGCGGTGCGGACGGCCGCGGCGAGCCTGACGTTCAACGTCGCGGCGGCGCTGCAGAAGAGCAGGGTCGAGAAGCTGAGGGGCCCGACCGCGGGTGCGGTGCCTGTGGCAGTGGAGGAGGACGAGGAGTGGGAAGCAGAGCTGGCGAGTGCGGTGTTGGAGGCGCTCTCGAACGAGGTCCAGAGCGAGGAAGTCGGTGAGTGGTGGATTTTGCTCGTTCTCGCCGCTCGTGGATCGCTGATGTCTGTACGGCTCAGTCCATCGACTGGTCGCCGCGCTTGCGTTCTTGCTGCGGCTGTCGCCGTCGTACGAAGGCCAGCTGGGGCCTCTGCTCGAGGTGCTGCAGGCGCGAGATACCCTCAAGAGCAAGCTCGAGAAGGGCGGTCGCGGGGAGAACGGGGTGCAGAAGCCTGAGGTTCGGAAGCTGGTTGAGGAGGTGGCTACGAAGTTGTGTCCGTGAGCTTCAGACTGGACGTTGGATGTCGTATTGAGTATGTAAGTTTCTTTATTCAGCTTTTGCCAACGGCTGCGACGAAACCTCCCTGGCGGACACCTTTCACTTGTATAGAATCAAACCCACTGCTTCTTGGCGGATATTGGGTGGCGGTTGTGTCCATTAGGTGGTTGTGGACAGGGTTGAGGCCTTGAGGGAAGCAGTGAACCTGGGGCTTTTCCGAGGTTCATCTGGACGTGCGTGCGATACGTGCCACACCGGCGACCTCGCATATTTTGCCTCGATGCTTTCAGCATCTTCCCATGCGATCCATTCGTCACTCGTACCAAGGTCGAAAACCGTCCCTCGTCGCATCACTTTTTGAAATACCAGGTCATCTGGCGACTCATGAGTCACCGTTGGGGCTTCTGCGGGCGAAAAGACAGCTATGAGCGACAGAATCTACCGTCTTGAACATCTGTCAATTAGGGTCTTGGATGCGTCGGTGCGCTTCGTGCCAACCGAACACGCAACCACCTCTAGCGGAGAGCAGGGTCTGATGGAGGTAGGCTCACGACGCGGTGAAATCAGGCAACCGAAGGGCCTTGAAAAGACGATGGCTGGCTAACAGACCCCCTTGGGTGTAGGTTCACAGCAAGAAGAGAAGAGACGCAGGTTTGTGGCACAACCCGATATTTAAAAGACCCGTCTCTACTGGCGACATGGGGGATGGAAGTATCGTGATTCTATCCTCACGTCGAGATATTTGATCAACCTGCAATAGGTCCAACGCAAACAGGCAGGCTCTTTTCTGTCCATGTCGGGTGCGACAATGCTCGGATCCCGATCTCATACATCTGAAAACGTGAGCAGCTTCATGAGGTCGCTCGGAGCCCAGCTATCGTGTGGTAATGACGATGTTGAAGATAGTGACGAGGACTTGTCTTAGCCAGTGCCACTTGTTATTTCGGTGATTATGTGGCCAGTTTCTGCTCCTTGAGGTCCTGTGGCTGACATGTCCATCTATATGCTGCGTGACTGCTACTTCGTTGGGCTCTCTACCCAATGCTATCCATCGCATATAGCTGGAGTGTTCATTTATGCTCATCACACAAATCCGTTGGCAGACTCGGGTGACTGGCGGCTCGGATTAGAGCGAGACATTCCAAGCGCTTACATCTCACTGTACTACGAAGTCGAATCAGTACTATGTACCAAAGAACCGCAACGCGCGAGCGCACAGCTGGCTGCGTCTCGGCATGATGGTCCGAGACATCCGACGAAAGTTCACGAAGGGCCCGTCGGCCAAGAAAAGCGGGATTGGTCGGCTGTGGACATCTGCCGGCGGGGGACTACTCAAAGCTCGTGAAGATCAATCGCGACGTGCCGGATGCGGGGTGGCCAGTTGCCGGAGACCAGTACATATGCGGGGCCGCCTCAGGGCGCGCGGTCGTCACCGTTCACCTCGTTCGCGGCACCACGCTGAGCGATGTTGCTCTGCTAGACTATCTACTCGTCTGATTATCCTCTCTTGCCGTCTAGATCGTGGCTCAGCTAGTATTAGTGCATCCCCCCGCGCACGGAATACCCCACTCTAACTCCCCGTCCGTATACCGACGCAATCCCGACTTCCCCTCCAAGTCCGCCCATAAGACCCTGCGATCGGCCGCTGCAGACAGTCGACGCACTTTCTGCTAGCTGCCCAATACCCTCCACACGCCGAAGGACGGAACGCTTTATGTTCTCTCAGTCCACGCGCCGTACGGCTTCCGCTCGGTCTCGATTGCTTTTGGTACGTCGATCCTGCTTCTGCGCTTCTGTCTGCATCTATATATTGTGCGCGCGAAAGGCGGGCTAGATGGGAGGGGTGGTAAACGACCGGTGGAAGCTCGCATTTCGCCGGAGAGGCCACATGCATGAGAGTGTTGTGGGAAGTGAGCATCCCTGGGACGCTAGCGGAAGGCTACGAGGCCCGGGTCGATTCGCGTGCAGCCTGGGAATAGGCCTTCGTGCACACGATCCCATAGGGAATACTCATGGCTATATACACAACAGCTTCGGGACGTCTCTCCCCGACATCCTCGTTTGATCCTATTTTTCATCTGTTGCGACTGCGTGGCATCTGCCATTGGGTAGTGCTCCAACTTCATAGTTATGCTGCTTGCCTCGGACATCGTCGCAGATCCCTCTGCTGCCTTGTGATTCTGTCGTGTTGAGAGCGAGATTGAACGAGGCCGTCCCATTTCCGTTCCTGGAAGGGTGTGCAAGGCATGATTCATGGAGGCCGTACGTCCGTTCCTACACAAATCGTACACGCCTCTCTACTGAGACCCGCGTGCATCGACCAGCTCTGCAGTCCTGCCATCCAGGTACGCTATCCTCTGCTCTGCCGGAAGCCTGTGTGTGCGTCCAAGCGACGGCGTAGTCATCTCGCGCTGGGCAGGCGCGGTCGTCCGTGCATCCAGTATACAGTCTATCTCTTTTTGCTGCCGACAAGCCCGCATTTGTACGAACCTCACTGACCCCCACACAGTCTCATAGACCCACAATGTCAAAACCACGCGCCCTCACCACCTCCGCGCCTCGCAAGTCCGATGTCCCCCCAGGCTACGTCGCCGACCCCAGCCGCGGCCCCATGCTCCGCTACGAAGCCTCCCTCCCCCGTCTGCCCGTCCCCTCCCTCTCTTCCACCGCCGCGAAGTACCTCGAGACGGTGCAGCCGCACGTGACCCCAGCGCAGTTCGCCAAGACGCAGGCGGCGGTGCGCAAGTTCGTCGAGTCCGAGCAAGGGCGGGTGCTGCAGGAGCGCCTGCAGGCGCGCGCGGCGCAGCCGGGCACCGCGAACTGGCTCGCGGACTGGTGGAACGAGACGGCGTACATGGGCTACCGCGACCCGGTCGTGGTGTTCGTGAGCTACTTTTACGTCCATTTGGACGACAAGGCGCGGCCTGGGCAGGCGAAGCGGGCGGCGCAGCTGCTGAAGGCGATCTTGCCGTTCAGGGATCTGGTTGAGAGGTGCGTGTGTGCGGCGGAGTGTCGCGTTCGGGTGCGGGAGTGACATGTCGTCTCGCAGTGAACAGCTCGAGCCGGAGAAGGTCCGCGGCGCGCCTTTGGCGATGAAGTCGTATGAGTGGCTGTGTGTATTTTTCTCTCTCCGGCCGGCGAAAGGACGCGTTCTGACCGGGCGATGCAGCTTCCACTCGTCTCGCTACCCTGTGAAGCCTGTGGATACCGCCAAGAAGTTCGATCCCAAGACTCACAACCACGTCGTCTTCGTTCGCAAGAACAAGTTCTACAAGGTGCAGCTGGCGGACAAATCCGGCCGCGAACTGTCCGCCCCGGAGCTAGAGGCGCAGATCGAGAAGGTCATCGCGCTCGCGGGTAACGAGAAGGCGCCGCCTGTTGGTGCGCTCACATCAGAAAATCGTGACAATTGGGCAGACGTACGTACTACTTGATTGTGGCATCCAATGCATTACGAAATTTTACTTGGATTGTTGCCAGGCCCGCGCAGCCCTCCTTGCTGCCTCGCCATCAAATGCAGCCGCGCTGGAGGACATTGAGTCTGCGATATTGGTCGTGGCTCTTGACGACACCAAGCCCGTCACTCGTGAACAGGCTAGCTGGGCATGCTGGGTTGGCGATGGCAGGAACCGTTTCTACGACAAGCATCAGCGTAAGCACCATCCTTGCGCTGCGTCCTCCGAATCCAACGCTCACCTGGGATCGCAGTGATCGTTTTCGAGAACGGCAAGTCCGGGTTCCTCGGCGAGCACTCTTGCATGGACGGCACGCCTACCCTCCGCCTCAACGAGTTCATCCTCGCCTCCCTCGCCGCGGGCAAGATCGACCTCAACGGCGCCGGGACAAACGCGGAGCTTGAGCCCCCGCAAGAGCTCCAGTTCACGCTCGACGGCAAGACGCGCGAGTACATCGCGCAGGCGGAGGAGAACTTCGACGCGCTCGTCGCCAAGCACGACCTCGAAGTCCTCCACTACGAGGGCTACGGCAAGGAGTACATCAAGGCGTTCAAGGCGTCGCCCGACGCGTGGGCGCAGCTGGTCAAGCAGCTCGCGTTCCACAAAATGTTCAACCGCCCGGGCGTGTGCTACGAGAGCGCGCAGACGCGCAAGTACCAGTTCGGCCGGACGGAGGTCATCCGCTCAGCGAGCAACGAGAGCAAGGCGTGGGCGGAGGCGATGCTCGACCCGACCCAGACCGTACGTCCTCTCCCCTCGTATGACTTCGCCGACAATGGTCACGGCGTACTGAACACTTGTATTTCAGGACGAGCACCGTGCCGCGCTCTTCCGCAAGGCGATCTCCCGCCACCTGCAATACGCTGCGTGGGCCGCCGATGGCCAGGGCGTCGATCGGCATCTGTTTGGCCTGAAGAAGTCGCTCAAGGAGGGCGAGCCCGTCCCCGATATCTACACAGACGAGGCATTCAGCAAGACGAGCCATTGGGAGCTCTCGACCTCGCAGCTTTCGTCGCCCTACCTCGACGGATGGGGCTACGGCGAGGTCGTCCCCGACGGCTACGGCCTCTCGTATTCGATCGGCGACTACTACATACGCTGGACGATCACGAGCCTGAAGCGCAACACCGCCGAGCTCAAGCACTATCTCGCGGAGGCCGCTACGGAGACACGGGCAATGATGGAGCGTGCGGCAAAGGCGGCCAAGAAGGCGGAAGGGGAAAAGGCGAAGTTGTAATGTCTTGCTCCTAGTCAGGGATCTGTGATCCCTGCTGTAGGGGATGGTTCCTTACGGGGGACACCTGGCTTGGCATAGAGGGTTTTATATATCATACGTTTCCTCAATTTATCGACCTGGAAACAAACAATATACAAGCATCGGCAACACCTATAGTCTAGAAAGTTCAGCCGGACTGCCTACTGACGAGGCCGTGGCTTCCCCGCCATCAAAGACAGGATGCCGTGGCGGAGTTCCCGCACGGCGCAATGCGTCGAGGTTCTTGTACCACCACTGTATCGCGTAGTCTTTCTCCGTGTCCCCAATGTCTTGCGAGATCGCCTTGAACAATACCTCTACAAGCTCTTCCCGCATCTCTTCCGAACGACGATCCACTTCGCGCTCATTCGACGACAGGGGTACGGAAAGTATGGTCGCCTTGACCTCAGTTAAGAGTCTCGGCAGGAGTTTGAGCGACACTGAAGGTACGGTCGCAACGAGCGCCAGGTGCAGGCGATGCAGGTGTTCGGAAGATGTTTGGGTCGATTCGGACGCGGCGAAAACAGAGGACGACGCCTCTGCTTTGGGTGCGGTGGAGTACGGCAAAGTGGCCTTGACGGGGGCGGCGCCGACGTGGCGAATGGCGTCCAGAAGCACCTCGATGCAGAACCAGGCCATAGCGTCGGCTTGGGCTGGCCCTGCATCGCGCACGTCGTCAGGCACGGAGTCCGCGTACCCGAAAGAGCTCGCGCTGCGGACGAGCGCAGCGTAGGCCATGCAGAGCTGCAGCGTGCTCAGGCGACCGTCCGACGAGTTCTGTCGTCAGCTTGTCGGTCAGTCATACAGGCCTTGTGTTGACGGGAAGTAGTTCTACTTGCCTCGATGAGACATTGCGCATACATCGGCACGATCTTCTCGGCGAACGTCGACCCAGCTGCTGCAGGCTCTCGTGCCTTCTCAGTATCGTTCCTTCGTGCGTGGGAAGCGAAGATAGCAAGCATGACCGAGTGCGCTGACTCGTACGTTTCTCGATGACTGGGGTCCCAGAGATGCCTAATGGAAGTCAGGACGGTCAGCAGTGCGATTGTGTGCGACTGAAAGCGACATACGGAAGGCACAAGGGGTACACTCGTGACTGGATGGTACCCTCCGAAAGGACATGCATAAGTTGTTCTGCACATGCGAGAGCAAATGCCGTCTTCGCGTTCAGTACGTTTCGGGGAAGGATGTCTACTCCTACAGCGTCGATTAGCATGGTTTGGTGGGAGAATACATCCTTGCTGAAGTACCTTTACCCTTGCCGGTCACACCGCCATTCTGGCATAACTCCTCCACAAAGCGCTTCGCCTCGGACTCGCTTGCGGAGAGCACATCCAGCGCCATGTAGAACGCGCGCTTGAGCTCCGGCAGCCCGCCCTCAGAGGTGGACGCGACGCCACCAAACTGAGGCATGACGAATGACAAGTGCGAGAGCGTATGCAGGACGCCTAGAGCAGCGCTGTGGGGTGAGGGAACGCCGGATGGCGAGGTATATGCGCCGTCCTCGTTTGGGCTGGGGACGAAGACCACAGCTGACAAGATAGACTGAGAGAGCATGAGCGTTGTGAAAAGGAGGGTCTTCAGGATAGACCAAGTAGCCGTGGCTATTCCTCGTGAACCCTCATCCACAAAGCCAGCATCATCCTTAACCCCGGCTAGAGGGCACCTTGTCCAGTCGTTCTCAACGATGTCCGTGAGGGACTGTAGGCGGTCGAGCGTGCGACCTATAGCCTCCCATCCATGCACGCGCCTCGACTCTACAAAAGTAGTGAGGGAGAGCGCCGTGAACCTGGCGAGGGAAGCCATCGAGCTGATGTATGTCGAGCTCGCGATTGTCTGGATAGTCTGAGCGAAGGTACTACCTGCCTGTGAACGGGATCAGCACCAGTCCATCCATGCCTGTAAGATAACTCACGTGCACGGAGAGCTTGCCCTCTGCATCGACACTGACCGATGAGAGCGCAGGAGCAAGGAACACACCGCCATGAAAGGCACGATCGATAGCAGTGGTCAGGACGTCTACGATAGCCTACATGTAGCATGAGAAAATGAGGCAATTCAAATCTCATCGGGTGACATACCGGCAGTGGGAGGGCCTGTAACCTCTGGGGGTCGATCAGCGGCGCGCACTGGGACGCAAGCAGAACAGCAATAAGAAGTGTGTCTGTGTGCGGGAGCAGGTTGTGCCTCTCAGTGGCAAAAAGAACGAGGACCTGGACACAGAAACATACCCTCTGCTTCGTCCCCGGCTTCCAGCGTTCTCTTGAAATCCTTCTCCCACCCGCTCCCTACCCCAGTATACCCGTCGACCACCTCCGCGAGCGCGATAACAACCTGCTCCTCGACCTTAGCCCTCGCTCTCGCCCCCTTCTTCTTGAGCCCCAGCTCCGCCTCCCAGTCCTCCAGACCCAGCATCAGCCCAGCAGCGCACGCAAGCCGCACCACCGCGACGCTCCCTCTGAATCCCTCGAGCACCGCCCCCAACCACTTCGCCGTTCGCCCAGCCACGTCCACACCCCTGGCGAGCAGCCCGCCTGGGTGCTTCTCCGCCTCCTCCTTGTGCACGGCGAGGCGGAGGTGGACGGCATGCCGGAACGCGACCGAAAGCGCGCTGAGCTTCTGGTACGTGTACGGGCGGAAATGTGGGCTGGCGAGCGTCGTCGCCGCAAGAGGCGTAGGAGTGCCGGGGACGGGGACGGGAGGACGCGCGAGGTAGTGCGCGATCGACGCTTGGAGCGTCTCCAGAGGTAGAGTGGAGGTTGCGCGGGTGAGGTGACGGATGAGGTTGATGTAGCCGCGGTCCGACATGGTCGATGGAGAGTTTATTAGCCCTTAGGCTCACCTTTCGAGGACGTGTCTGTCAAGTTATTACGATGGTGCAAGGAGAACGGATTGTCATGGGTGTCAAACGACAAGTCGCGAGTAACGCGCCGTTCCCCGCAATCGTCCAAGCACGAGATTCCGCGCGGGCCGGCGCGCACGAGGACCACTCAGAATCGTGCGAGCGCCTGCACTGCTGTGTCGCTAAACTCAAGCTCGACATGAACGCATTGTATTTGTTAGCGAGCGGGTACGACAAGGAATGAAAGGCTAGCTAAAGAGGGCGTATAGTATCGATACAACCTAGAACACCAGTGGTACGGTGAATGCAAGATGGAACGGAATCGCTCCTATGCTAAGAATACAACATTGCTGCAAACAAGGACCCAGAAGAACGTGAAAGTATGGAAGAACCAAGAATGTGAAAGACAACAGAACAACTGGGCGATGACGGGAGGGGGTATGAGGTGCCCTCCCGTAGTGCAGCAATATCATTTCACCATGCCAGGGTGGTAGAGGCAAGAGGTCTAGTCATCAAGCGCAACCTTGGGCAGCCGTGGCTCAGCGACGAGCCGTGGCCGTGGCAGCGACCGTCACAGTCACTGTTGAGGGCGGTGCGCAAGTCGCGGCGGAACCACTAGCAACACTAGACCGACACGGAAGTTAGCTCGACAACATCATCTCGTCAGCCGACGGCGAAAGCACGTACGTAGTAGCAGTAGCAGCGGCAGACGAACTGCCGCTGCCGGAAATCCCAGCAACAGCTTGGTTGATCTCGTCCTCAGTAGCGTCGTTCACGAGGAGGTTCTGCGTGAAGATGCAGCCGTTCGCGTCGTTGGCGTCGTCGCAGGTGTTGCCCTTGGCGGTGGGGTCCCCGATCTTTCCAGGGGCGAACGTGCCGGACTTGAGCGCGTCGAGCGGGTTGCCGCCGACCGCCGCGATCTGCTTCGCGAGCTCGAGCACGATCGCCTTGTTCGTCGCCGCCGCACCCGTCGACGCAGGGTCCTGGTGCTGCTGGATGGCAGCGACCTCGGGGTTCTTCGCCGTCTCGGTACAGAGAACGGAGGCCTGGCCGACCGACCCGGTGTTGCGCTCGAGGGCGCGGAAGATGAGCGCGTTGACCTGGCCGTCGACGTCGCCGGCAGCCTTGGCGTTAGTGAACGCCTGGTCGGCGACGGCCTGCTGCAAGCAGTCGAGGTTCTGCATGGAACACGTAAGGCGAAGCAAAACAAGGGAAGACGGGAAATAAGCTCACGGTGATGTCACCAGCACCAGCCGCTGCAGCAGCGTTGCCGAGGAGAGCGAAGATAGGGTCCTGAATCTTGTCGGGGTTGTTGAGGTTCAAGCTCGCACGGACCTTGGTGATGATCGGCTCGTGGGAGTGCTCCTGAGGCACCTCACGGCGGACGGGCGCGGAGAACGCGAGAGTAGAAAAGAGGGCGACAAGCGCGAAGGAAGACTTGATGAAGACCATGGTGTAAATGATGCGTGTGTTGACCTGACTGGTGCGGTTGTACTACGACAAAATCACAAAGAAGGGTACGCCAGCGACCTGTTGGACGAGGAGAAGCCATGTTAACGTCACCACACATAGTTACCAGTCGCAGGTACACGCACAAGAAGGACGGAAGAACTTGAAGGAAGCACGTCAAGACCCGGTCTTGGCTGGTAAGTGAGAGGAATGCAGAGCGTCCAGTGTCGGTCCCCAAGCCTTTATACCTGCCGAGACCTGCCCCTCGGAAACGTTTGCAATTATCGGCACTTTGCCTCAAGGCACCAGGTTGCCATGCTGCTTCGCGGACAACACGGCTCGCGGAGACCCGCATGATGAACGGGTGATGAAGACGGTTGAGAGCCCGGAATAAAGCTTCTAATAGAAGTTCGAATGGGTCGCCTCCGCCGGACGCGTTGTCCTGGTTGCTCGTTCATAGCAACTGCAATCAAACGAGGAAGGTCGCCTGCCTTATATGGCGACTCGTCATCGCACGGGTGGGTCCGGCAGCGCACACCGAGATGTTTGTCCTGATCTTCGTGCCTGGCAGTCAGTAAAATCATGTACGCTCGGAAGCGAGCTGTCAGGCCTTCAGGTCTCCTGCTGCGCAGTGGTTGCAATGACACTCCCGGTGGTCGACTTTTTGCCGTCGAGCAAAGACATACGTAGTCGGAACATAGTCTGACGGCGCCGTCACGGCGGTCGTCAGTATGAATAATATTTACGCAGCGACGCGCGAATGTGTATACAAAAGCGAGGGTCGATGCATGATGACACACTGGCTTTTGGACATGCAGCCTTGAGGAGCTGGACTCCCCGAGTATTCTCCACGATACCCACGAGCTGCGGTCAGCTCGGTCTTGGTGCTATGTAGTGGTAATATTGTACCGCAGGGTATCTGATCGTGAGACATGGGCCATCGACCAACGATATTAGTGGACGCGTGCATGAGCGAGCATTGGCTTAGGTAGCTGAGAGACCCGAGCAACGTTCTGCTCAGCGACACCCACACCACTATATCGCATGGAAACGGGGCGAGAACAGGATACCGATCTACTATTCTAGACAACACGGACGGTGGTAGCTTCCTTCTTGGAAAGCGAATGCAGGTCTTGCTCTATTCCGGAGTAGCCGCGGTGAGTTCCATGTCCTTTTGCTATTGTGAAATTGAGGTACTTACGGATTCCCCATACATGCGCTCGCAAGTCGAGAAATTCTGGAGGCGACGACACAAATGGCGCATTGAGCGAACAGACTTGACAGGAACTTAACGATAGCTTACCGACGTGCAGTCCATCATACAGCTTCTTCACCTCGGCGCGCACACGCGAGATGTCCTCCTTCGTGGCCGACGACTCGCTCAACGCCTTCAGCTCCCTCTCTACTGCCTCAATCCTCCTCACATGCGCGGAAACCTAAGTGCAAGCCGTTCAATCGGCTTTCACTGGACGATTTGATATGTCACGACATACCTTCTGCGTGCTCGTCTGGAGTTCCTCCACGCTCGCCTGCAACGCAGCCGAAGCTAGTTTGTACTCCTCCAACAAGTGATACGCCGCCAAAGACGACGCAAGCGAGAATCCGAACAGAAAGCCTACAATCCTATAACACCCCTCGTGTCACCGGCAATCATTTCCCAGGACTAAATGGTCCTCAACGCACCCTCCCCGGAATGCACCGACAGGCTTCTTGGCTGGGGGGACTGAGCCCAAGTTGGGGGACGCCTCCTCACATACGGCCCGCGTGGTCGAGAGCAAGCGGCTAGAGACCCGCGGCCGTGTTGCCCTAGCCAGAGATAACGAGCGTGAGGCGAGCCTGGAGGACATGGTGGAGGATAAGGGTATGTTGCACCCAGCAGGCGAGCCGCGATGTCGCGACGTCTCGCCACACGCACACGCGCCTATAATCGAGCGATCGCCGTCAAGGCGGTAGCGCTCGTGCTACGGTCGCGCGCCTTGACTGCATTCCCCGGTATCTTCCTGCGTCGTCCGCATTGCAGACTCCAAACGTACCGCCACCTATACACTGTCTCTGAAGCAGGTCTGACAAGACTCCTTTCTGCTCAGGCCGAAACTGCGATACTCAGTGTGCTCCCCACAGAGGAGAACGGGAGAAATCAAGGGGCTGTCGATCTTCCACCCGCTCGTCCTGCTCTGTGTACGCCGCCTCCGACTCAACTGCAGCACGAACCCATGCGCGAACACAAGACTCAAAGTCCAGCCCGCCCGCCCATGCATCCAGATCCCACTCCCTTAAACGCTGCCAGCCCGGCCTCTGACGACAACATTCCCCAAGGGATATGGGATAGAATCCCGCAGTTCACAGAAACCGAATCCGAGGATGCCGCAGTCCCGAGATAAGAAAGAAGGGAAGAAAGTAATCGAAACCAAAGCCATCTCACACGAACCAGAGCCCAGAAACGGAACAGCCGGAACCAAGGACCGCTCTGAAAGAAAGACACCACGCCGCACGGGGACACCAGCGGCCAGCCCGACGTCCTCGCCAAACACACCACACACTCCTCACGAAGAGAAAACCAAGTCACCGCGCCGACGTCCAAGAATCCGGTGCTCAGCCAGTGGCCAAGTGGGATCAGGATCATGAACGGCAAGTAGCCACCCCACCGTCCGATTCACCCTCACGCCCCACCTCTAACTTACCGTGCAGCTCCTCTAGATGTTCAGAAGATGAACAACCTCCTTAGGAGCTGCCGCCAGTCCAATCCCCAGGTCTTGCCAGAACGGCTCGGTGCCGAAAGTTGTCGTTCTTGCTCGTCGTCCTCGAATTCGACCCAGACCCAGCCAGAGTCTGGATCACCTTCTGCGCACTGTCGTTCATCCTCGTCCACGGTCGAGATCGAAGCGAGAGAGAATTCGAGTGAGTCGAAGTGGTTGGCCATGAACTCGAAGTGGGCGTCGTGGTGGTTGAAGTCCAAGTCGCAGATCGTCGACGCCGTGTCGTCCCAATTGGTCGCGTCGAAGTCGATCGTGTCCGAGTCGGACTCCGTCCGTTCAGAGTCCGAGTCAGGGCTGTCAACCGAAGATCCAGTCTCGTCAGTATCGTTCTCTGAGCCGTCCTCTTCTTCCTCGATGTCGTCGAGCGAAGGCTTCGAGGCAACCTTGGGCCGATTGGTGAGGAATATGCGCTGGAGAAGGCTCCCATTGCCGGTCGAGTCGGTCGGGTCGGTCGCGGCCGAGCGGCCGTCCTCTTCTTTCTCATCCTCATCCTCGTGTTCTTCGTTGTCGTCCTCGTCGTCTTCCTCGTGGTTCTCGTCATCTTCGTTGTCGTCTTCTTCCTCGTCCTCGTCTTCTTCCAATATCGTCGTCAGGTAGTGGCCATACTGTCCAAACATACAGGCATCGGATGCGAAGAACCGGTCGACGTCGAAAGAGCAGGATCGGGCGCCAGCCTCATCGGTGTCAAGGTCGGCCTCGCTTGCGTCGTCGGAGTAGAACTCGTCCTCGACGTCGTCGGCCCAGTTGAAATCGGAGGTGGGTGTTGCGAACGGATCGCAAACTTGGTCGCCTACAAGGGTTGCCTGAAGGATGTCTTTTTCAAAAACGGCACTGATGATCTCACCAGGAGAGTTGACCGGGAAGGATGAGGCGGAGGTGGTGAGGGTAAGAGACATAGCTATGGGGTACTGCGCAGCAGCGAGAGAAGGTGTGAGCTTTTGAAGGTGTGTGTGGGGTAAGGAGTGGTGGTACGGAGGTAAGGACGGTGAAGCCGCAGCGAGGTCCGGAGGCTGACATCAATAGTAGGATGGTTGGCGGGCCAGGTCACAATACGTCGGGCTGTCATTGAAGAGATCGTTATTCCAGGAGCTTGTTCCCTCGTGCGCGATCACATGAATTTCTCTGCTCACGAAGGACATTTTCATCAGCAAGCATTCAATCAAGCATGTTTATAGCATAGAGCGCCCCGATTCTTTAGCCAGAGTTCTCAGACTGACCGGTGCCTTCTGAGTCTGAGCTGTGCACCACCCGGCAAGCCGGCCTCGGCTCGCTCTGATAACGGCAGTAGAACAGGCCGGTTTTCTCCTGCACAGGGCAGCTTCTCCGTTGGCCCGTATGCGACATATGCGGGCCCTCGCTGAGATTTCGGGTGGTCACTGGATCTCGGTGTAGTACTCTGTGGTAGGTACCAACCTAGTGTCACGTCAACTGGCATTACTCAAGGGGACTGCCCGGATAGTCGTCTCCTTCGCATGATGCATGTATAGTCGTCTGACTGTCTACCACTTTGACTGGCCGACTGATAGTGTGCCGGCGCCGCTGGCTTGATATCGCTCCGTGTCGTAGCTCGTGCAGCATGATACTGCAGTGTCGTCGTCCCTCGGTCATGCGTCTTCCGGAGATCCACCGACAGGACTGCAATCGTGTGTACTCATCCCGGCACGGTGGATTCTTTGAATGCCGCCAGGCCAATGCCGATCTGCCCCCTCCCGTTCTACCTCTCTTCCCCCGCTCGCCACGCCCCTCGCGCGAGGCTCGCAGCTCCACGCCCCCGAGGACGCTGTGCCGGCACTGCCCGTCCTTTCTCCCAGATCTATGCCCCGAACGAGGACATGGCTTCCCACACAAGCGCCAGCCCAGAGAGCGAGAACGGCGGCGGACAAAAATACGCGAGAGCGGCGTGCGGCAGTCCAGCAGGGAAGCACCCCATGACCGCGGCAGGGCGCCGGAGGTCGAGCTTAACGGCGGCGAGTGACGCTCGTGCGGATGCGAAGGTTTGTAAAGCGGGCGAGTGTCGCCTGCTTCTAGTATGGATGCACGCTACTCGTATAGCGACCGCGCGCAGACGCGCAGGAAGGCCGGTTCGCGCGACCTAGAGGGATCTTCGTGCGCGTTTTGGGTCGTAAAACTTATGCTAAGACGCTGTGTATCAGAATGCGTCGGTACAGCTTTGTGTACCTGGGCGTCGAACGTCGAGATAGAAAGGCAAGCGACTTGCTCGTTATGCGGCCTTGAACGGAATTCGAAGGGTGCGCATACACCACTGCGCATCGAAGGGCGTAGTGCGAAGTTTCGGGACTGTAGCAGCGGCTGTCATCTCCGACCTCGCTGAACATACGGAATCTCGACCACTAGAAGATCTCGACAAGCGCGTCTTGCAAGTTGCAGCATGCACACATACCGTCATCCGTTGTGTAATGTTGAGGGCAGCGTCCTCCGAGGCCTCGCCACCGGCAACTCAGAGGGTTCCGGGGTTAACTTTCCCGCAACAGTTTATGTGAAGTGGGGGCACGAAATCGATCGAGCATTTGTGCGGGACCCGAACCGTTCACGGCCCTGAGACGCATCGCGGACCAGCAGGCGCGTCGAGGACGGGGACGGGGAAAGGCACTGGCGGACCGCCGAGTGCCGGGGTGTCTTGAACGTCTATCGATTAGGGAATACAAGGGACGTCAACTTGGCCAGATGGTCTTCTGATAATCTCGCTTATGACGAGCCAAACTCTGCGCTCATTGAAGCCGTGGTCTGTCTATCAAGGACACCTTGAGGATGCAATCGCGCCCACAACTCGAGGCATCGTTCAGTACATGCATATCGTGCTACGAACACACTGATCATTGGCAGTTCGAGCGCGCGTTTGACGTTACACGCCTTTTCTCGGGGAACACAGATCGTGAGCCTGGACCCAGTTTGGATCTCGGACGCGCTTCGTACATCATGTACACATACACACATGGGATGAGCGGCAAAACATAATGCGTGCGAGAACAGATAGCTAGGAAGAGGGCAGCCGGAGATCAAGCGAAGGCTCGGTCTCCGTGGCAAACACCGGAGATATCGAGTCACAGCCAAGAGTCATACGGGGCGGCAAGACGGGTGGGTATTGGATAGTACATATCCAACGCGCGCTGTGACGGAGCCAGAGGGGAGCGGTACAGGTGAATGCGAGATTACGAGGTGGTGGCGGAAGGTCAGTGTTTTCGAGAAGTCGTAAGCAAAAGCAAACAGGAAGCGGTAACGATAGCAAGACAACGTGTGTAACATACGAGACAGGATATTCACAGTCAATACCGAGGGAACAGGACGCCATACGATGTGCAACACAGGGTGCTGTCTGACGGAATAGACCCATGTACTCCGACCGCGTAGGTACCATGCTTCCAGGTCGGCTACATAGTCCTCAACTGTCAACAGACCTGCGCCGAACGAACCACGAGCCGACAAGCGTCCCGCCGGAGCTCAGGATTCGCCGGCCAAGCGAGCAGTGTTCATGAGCTCGATGGCCGCAAGATAACCATTAGCCCGTCCGAATGCGCCGAGAAGATGGCGTCTACCACGCGTTCGTCGTCGGAACGCGGCCGCGTCCCTGTGCGCGACTCCCGTGACTCCCGGTACCTCTCTCGGTCGCGCTCCCTGTCTCGGTAGCTCGAGCCCGACGACGCGTGGTGATGCGACGGGCGGGCATCGCGCGTACGTGAGAGATGGTCGTGGCCGGAGGACGGCCCACTCCGGTGACGCGAAGGCACGGGGTCGGCGTGTCGGATGCTGTTGGCGCAAAACGGAGTATCGTGAGCGTGTGATGGAGCCTCGCGCTGGGCACAAGCTGCCGCCGCACGACAGCCAGTGCAGCTGGCGGGGAAGGCCCTTTGGCTTACCTGGAGTCCCGCCCGCGCACGAGGAGGCTGAACTTTCCGAAGCCGAAGCCGCCGTCGCTGGGCTGCCCTCGCTCGTTCACGCCCCAGGACTTGATGACGTCGATCCAGCTGCGGACGAGATCTTCGTCTTTGCGCGAGACAAAGTCGAAGAAACTGCGGCCCATGCATGCCGTCGTCGAGATCAAGCTGTCATTGGAACAGTACAAGATGCCGCAGTTGACGCTGAAGCGGTCGAGGATGAGCGCAGTCCGAATGGACTGCTCTGGGAGCGGGTCAAAGGTGATGGCCTCTTTGCGGTCGCGTCTCCGGATGTCTGGGCTATGTGAACGTGATGAGGGGATGGGGCACGGTGGCATCGGGTTCGGATCGTTCCATCTCTGGTGTAGGAAGGCAGAAAAATCAGAACGGAATCGCGTGACGAGCAGATGTCGCCTACTCGGAACTCGAGGTCCTTCGCGGTCGGCGTGATGATCTTGACCTCTTGCGCAGTCGACGCGTTATGCATAGCTTTCGGCCCGGGGGCTGCAAATGAGACGCTTCCAACGAGGACGTTCTGGCATACTGTCCGGGACTATCGCACAAGAACGATGTCAACGCTACAGTGTAGAGCATTCGGTGCCCGACCTACTATGCCGCAGAGAATGTATCCTTTGTAGGGGTCTTTATGCTTCATGCGCAGATATGCGAGCACTGCAGCTTGGTCTTGTGATATTGTTGTGTAGTGCAATTCTTTCACTTCCGAGAACTCATCCGGATGAACGAGGTTGAGGGAGGGGGTCCCGATTAACTCGTGTGGCTCATATCCTAGGATGATCGAAAGTGAGCGAATTCAGATGCCGCGACGTTGATAGGCTCGGGTGAAAGGCGGCTTACCTAGTAGATCATAGACGGATTCTGAGCAGTACACCCAAGTGGCCTATGATGGCAAGGTAAGGGACAAGGAGACGGGCGTCGTAACAAGCGCTCACGTCTTCGGTAAAATCGACGATCCCGACTGGAAGGGAAGAACGGATGGGATGAGAATGGGGAAGGTGGAGAAAAGGGATGAGGGCGGGACATACTGAAGGAGACACAGGCTGTCGAAGAGTCCATTGGCGGGTGGGTGAGAGGGGGACGTCAGAAGAGGAGGAAGACAAGAGGCAGGAAGCTGGGCGGGTTGGACGATAGTGGCGATAGGTGGTGTATTTCTAGAAGCGACAGGCGTCCAGGACGAGTAGGTGGGACACGCTACGTGTGTGGATGAATTCTTCGCGTCTACGCGGGCGCCCGGAAGAACACGAAAGGCAAAGGGCAAGCCGTATGGCGAGATCGTGCTCGAAGGACGGACGGGGAGGAAGACAGAATCGCACCGGCCTCGGACAGTTCCAGATGGGAAGTCAGAGTGCTGCACGGACTTGGATGCTCCGAACCGCCACTGTGCAGACGCGGCTTAGCTTGCAACGGATGTCAGTCGCTGATGGGCCAAGGCACCCCGGTCGAAAGAAGGATGATTGAGAGGCCAATTCTGTGTGCGCGGTGGGGGCGCGGGAAGAGTGCGAAGGGGACAGGCGGGTCGTGCATTTCGTACGAGGACAGCGAGCTAAAGGGCCTCGCTCGGAGCGGGCGACGGTTCACTGAGCCCTTCAGACCCGAGTCCACGGCGTCGGTTGCCAGCGTCTCACCCAGATCTCACCGCCCTCCAAATCTTCCCACGGTACTTCAGGCGAGATCCCGTTTGGGCTAGATCTTTTCCCGCCCAGCTCTCTTTCCGCTCCCGCACAATCGTCAGATCGCTCTCGTCCCAGGCCTTTCCAGCGATTCTCATCCATCACTCCTCCTTCGTCTACAGACCGGTACAGCGACACTAGGCTCTATGTGGTCCACTGCGCGCGAAATTGCTGCGGGCGATGTCGTAATAGCGTGGATGGTAACTACCCCCGTCTCACTTACGTCTTCACCTGTTCATCTACCACCCACCATCAGACTAGGGACATCGTCCAACCGCTCGTCGTCACTCCTGGAAAGGAACTCAATTCAAAATATGGCTACTACCGTCATTCGGAGCTTGTCGGCGTGCCCTACGGCTCCAAGATCCGCTCTCGCAATGGCAAAGGCTTTATACATCTCCTCCGTCCGACCCCAGAACTCTGGACACTGGCTCTCCCTCACCGAACCCAGATTTTGTATCTCGCAGACATCGCCTTTGTTGTTTCCTGGCTCGATCTCAAACCCGGAAGCAATGTCATCGAAGCAGGTATGCTGGACCCGGACGCTCAAATAGCCTTCTTCCCCGTCTCGCTTCCTGGAGGATCGCATGCTCTTTTCCTCCGAGTCCTCTGGTCTCGGACATCTCCTGGCCTCTAAGGGCAGTCCTGGAAAGTCAAACAATCTAAGGACCCATGCGTGGTCTCAGACGATCCCCCTCCGCTCATCGTGCTTTCGCGTTGGTTGGATCTCGTCCAGTCTGGCCAGCGAGTTGCATGCTTCCATGCGATCTCCTCGGTCGCATGCAGCAACTCGTCACTGTGATTAGAATGAAGTTTGCTTCCCTAGAGATCTACCTCGAACGACTCGATGGTGATCCGCTACAATTTTCGTGTTGGGTCAAAGTTTGGCTATACGCATGAGACTGGTGTAGACCACAACGGAATGCACTCTCCTATCGCGCGCGTAGTTGTCAATCTAGCTCATCTCGGGCACCTCTCCCCGTCCAATTGTCGTACATCGTGACTGCTACACGGGTCCTACTTATCAGCCAGCCGATCCCGTTCCCCAACCAAAGTATCTCGTTCTTCCGAACATTACTGACACTGCAACCTCCATATAGGCACAGGCTCTGGTTCCTTCTCGCACTCCGTCGCGCGAACCATCGGGCCCGCAGGTCATCTCTGGTCATTTGAGTTCCACGAGACGCGCGCCAACAAGGCAAAGTAAGTAATCGTGCTGTCATATCGCGCCGAGTCATTTTCTCTCCTTTCGTATGCCGAGAGGAACGGACTCCCGCTCGCCGGCGCCGAGCGCAAGATCCCAGGTGACCATGGATCTCGGGCCCAGTGGGCAAACATATTGCTGTGCTCGTATGTCGAGCCTCCCTATGCTATCAGATCCCGGGGGTGTGCGAACAGCGTAGCGCGATCGTCCGCCCCAGTCATGCGTGCCGCGACCGCGCGCACGCATTTCTGATTTGTGTGGAAAAGTGGGCATGTGGGTCCTTGGGAAGCTAATCAGCATCGCGATTCGATTGCCCCGAATCGCACAGGGAGGAATTCAGTCGCCACGGGATGGACGGCGTCGTGACGCTCACGCACCGCAACGTCTGCAAGGACGGCTTCACGGTCGTGGACACCGTCGACGCAGGTACGCAGGCGATTTTCTGCTGGCCGCCCTGACGGCCATCGGGCGGTGGGGGTTGACAGCTGATACGGATCGGTCTCACGCTGATTGCGTTCAGTTTTCCTCGACCTGCCTGCACCCTGGGATGCCGTCGAGCACGCCAAGCAAGCTCTCCGCGTGCGTCGATCTCCTACGCCTATACCATCAGCTGCACGCACTCAATCTTGTCCTTCTGTTCTCCGGCCGCGCAGAAAGACCGCACAACCCGGATATGCTGCTTCAGCCCCTGCATGGAGCAGGTATTGCGCACCGTATCGGCACTGAACGAGGCTGGGTTCACAGGTGCGTTTCACGTCCCGCTGTTGATGCTGCCACAAGCCCGCAGTCGCGGCGGCTGACCTCATCACGCTCCATCTCCGGACACGAAACGTTCACGCGCAATGCAATGAATTGCAGAGATCACGATGTACGAGACGCTCCTGCGCCCGCACCAGGTCGATGCCGCGCCGCCGCTCACACCCGTCAGCGTCGTCGGCGAAAAGCTGAAGCAATTCGAGGCGCGCCGGGAGGAGAAGCGCCTCCGCCAGATCGCGAACGCACGGGCGGGGGCAGAGCGTCGGGCGGCGAAGCGCAAGGCGGAGGACGATGATACCCTGGAGGGGACGGAGGGCAAGCGGGCGAAAACCGGTGCCGAGGACGAGCCCATCCCGCCCGAGGTCCAGGCGCAGGACGAGAGGGAGGCGTTCGAGAGGGACGGCGCAGCGGGCCAAAGTGCGGCCGCTGGTACGTCTGTCGCGGACGCTGCGTCTGCACCCGTCCGTGAGGTGGCGCAGGAGGCGGCCGGAGCGACGAAAATCTGTCTGTCGAAGACGTTCCCTGAGGTCCGGGGGCACACGTCGTACCTGACCTTTGCTGTGCTCTTGCCAGCCACAGTGATGAGCACTGTCGAGGCAGTGTCAACGAGCGAGCAGCCTTCGACGGCCGTCAGCGCCGAGCCTACGCCCCCACCACCTTCAGCTGTGGAGGTAAGCGACTGCGACTGTTGTATTTTCCGCGGGGAGGGATGGCGTAGCTGACGGGTGCACCTGCCACAATGCTCAGGATGTTAAACCGACCGACGACAGTCAGCTAGGTGTATAGGTTATGCGATTATGCTGACTATACGGATCGAGTGTACTATAGATGGCATTACAGTATACAGATAACGACATCAGTCTGCGATCGCCCGCCGGTATGCCGCCTCGATCTCCTTTTCCTCTTGCACAGTACTCGCATCTTTCGGTTTGCGTGTCCGGAGCACGCGACTCGAGGGTGCCACGGGCGGCGGTGGTGCGCGGGATCGTGATCTCTTCGCAGGAGACGGCCCTGCATCTTCCCCTCCCTCCTCCTCTAGACCGGAATCGGACCCCTCAGCCTGTGATCGTGTCCGCTTCCGCGTCCGACGGGGCGGATTCTTGGGGGCAGCTGATGTCTTGCTCTTGCCTCGAGTGCTCGCCCGAGGGGTGGATGTGCCGCTCTTGGTCCCATTTCTCGAAGCCCGCGTGCTCCCACCGTTCGCAGCGCTCTTTGCGCCGGCGGTGGACGGTAGTGAAGCGAGCACGAGCTCTTGCTCGGAATCTATCGGCTGGTTCTTGCTGGCATCGCGGCGCGCTGCTTCTTCTGCGAGCTCCTGCATTGTCCTGGGCGTCCTTGCCGGCTTCGGTTCGACGACGACCTCTTCCATACCATCGGCGTCATCGTCCACCTCGATCACTGCTGACTCAGAGTTCACCAGGGATAGTGGTTCTTTCCCCTGCTCGTCGCCGTCGACGTTGACATCGTTCTCTGTGGCCACATCAGGGACGATCTCTGCACCCTTCCTCAGTTCGCCTAGCGCAGAGCGATCCATCGAAGCATGTTCGACGACCTCGTGGAAGTTCCGCGGGAGGGTATACGGCTGCACAACGTCGTCCACGCCAGTAAGGAAGCCACCCGCAATAGGCTTCTGCGATCCCGACTCCTGCAAACAGCACGCTCCGTCAGCCAAGCGTCACACTATTACATCCCCCGAATCGAGAAGCCATCTACGCCACCGCAAACTGCCGTACGTTAGACCACAGTGACAGTATGAGTGCCGCAGGATGTACGCGCCCGGGGTGGCAGCGGTAGCAAAGAAGGCGAGGTACAAGCACAAAAGAATACGAATCTCTACCTGCTGATTATCGGCCTCGACAGTTGTGCGGCCGTCTGCCGCTGTTGCCGCGGTGGCGGACGATGCACCGGCCGCGGACGCATTGCGGTCGGCGTACTGTTCTATGAGCCGCTGGCGGATGCGAAGACCATGGATAAGCTTTGTCCACCGCTTGATCACCTGGTCCTGCCGCTTTGCCCGCCGCTTTGCCTCGGCGTCTTGTTCTGCCTCCCAGTACCCCTGCGAACACCGAATAAGGCATGGAGTTTTGGTGATTGGATGATGTGGTTTAGGTGGGGTGCGGATGGCGTCAGCGATGATCCTGAGTGTCTGAGGGACACGGCCCGAGTGGGCCAAGAGAAGGACGGACGTACCTCAAGGACCGCGGATTCGTTCTCCGCCGCAACGACGATACCAGTCACAACGGGGAAAGCCCTACGCTTCTTGAACTCAAATCCGGTCTGTGAATATCTTGTGAGACCCAAGATGGAAGGGAGATGTGGAGGACGATCATGAGAGCCCGAGATGGATGGCCGATTTGCCGCTCTCAAGAAATCGTGGCGAAGACGTACCACTGCTTCTGCGTAGTCAAAACCGAGCTGCCGCGCGATCTTCGCAGTCCCCTTATCTGCCGGCGATGGTCAGCGAGCCGTCCGTGATGCGAGCCGTCACCAGAAGGAACGGCACAACGGCGCAACTCACAAGGTATGTGTACGGCCCCAGCAGGAAGCATCGACGGAACATACAGGTCGAGGTTCCCAAAATCGTTCTTCGGAACTTTGCCCTGCATAATGTTCGCCAAGACAGAGTCCAGAATACGGAATGAGCGTTGATCGCACTGACCAGCAGACGCAAAGATCGAACTCACGTCGATGACTGGCGGAGGCTTGTACACCTCAGTCTGATGCTCGGCATACATCCCTTGCATGATGCCCTCCTCGGCCGCGAAACCCTCTCCGGCGCCCGCGTTCCCACCGTCGACGTCGACCGCAAACGCCCCGTTCTCGTCTGGCGTCGGGGCGGACGCAGCAGCACGGTCGCGCTGGTCCGCGAGCGCGAGCTCGATCGCGCGCTTCTTGTTCACGGTCATGGCGCGCTGCTTGACCCACTTGAGCGGCTGCGCCCCCGCGATGACCGTGCGGCCCTGGCGCATCCAGCTCTCCGCCGTCTTCAGCTGGAGGACGTTTCCCCGCGGGTAGACTGACTCTCCGCGGAACTTGCCTATCTCGACTGGGGGCTCGACGACTTCGTCCCGCTTCAGGTGCCGCTCGAGGACGTACAGCGGGTGGTCCTTGAAGCCCACCATCGTCGTAGGCATCGCCTCCGTCATCTGGTTCGCTTGCAGCTCCTCGTCCTCGACGTCGTCGCGTTGCTAGTACATCGCAACAGACGACAGTCAGTGAGGAGAGCCCGCAAGCAAGAAGAGACGAGACAAGGCGAAAGAGAGACGCAAACACTCACGAGCCTATACGGCCGCCGCACCATCCTGCATATGCGCTCCCACCACTCGCGCCGGCCCCTGCCGCCCTGCTGCACCTTCGCGACCTTCGCGCCGAACTCGCGCGCGTACCGCGGCGTGACGTCGCGCGCGAACCCGTCCTCCTCGAACGCCATCACGTACACCATCCGGTTCTCGACGCGCACCGCGCGGCGCTTGTCCGCCTTCGCCGCACCCGCGTGGGGGTTTGGCGTCGGGTCGAACGCCTTGCGCTTGTTCACGATCACGCGGATGGGGTCGACGGGCAGCCAGCGCGCGTCGGCGCGCGAGAAGACCTCGGTCCAGAAGACGGGCGCGGTCGTCATCGGGTCAGGGGTGCGCTCGCCTGGAGGTGCGCGGGTGAGTGTTGGTCTGCGTGGGGTGCGGAAGATGAGGGGGCGGGACTCACGTCGTGGACGCTGAGACTGCGACTTTGGGCCGCCTTTGCTCTTCCGCAGCCGGATGACGGGGGCGGCCTTCTGTTTGCCCTTGCCGCTCGGCGTCGGGGTCGCGCCGTCCGAGCGTTGACCGTTTCCGGGGAGGGGCGACCTGCCCCTCGTGCTACTCACCGCAGGGGACCCAGGGATGTCGACCGCTTCCATATCGTCGTCGTCGTCCTCCGCATCTTCTGCGCCGTCTACCTTCGCCTTGCCCTTACCCTTGCCCTTGGCGTCCTCATCCTCATCGGCGTCTTTCTTTTTCTTCTTCGCGGCCGGCTTCGGCTTCCCGACACTGGCCTGCCACGGCACGCTCTGCAGACTGACCACCAAGCGCGCAGGGATACCCAGCGCGCGGCACAGCGCGGTGAACAGCTGCGCGCTCGTGTCGCGCGTCCCCCGCATCATCAGCGCGTGCTTCATTAGGCTCTTCGCGCTCCGGATGCGCTCCCCGCGCACCCCGTACCGCTCCTCGTCGTCGTCCTCGTTACCGTCGTCGTCCGCGTCCGCGTCCACCGCGCGCGCCTTCCCCTTGCCCTTCGGATCGGGGTCCTGCGGTGTGGGTTTGGATGGGGGGAGCGTGCGCTGGACGTCGTCAAAGGTGCGCGAGGTGATGTGGCCGGCGGGGACGATGGCGAAGGACGAGGCCCACCAGTCGGCGAGGCGGGTGATGGCAGACTCGAAGAGGCGGCCGCGCTGGACGGGGTCGGGCACGCGGGACTTGTGGATCGCCGCGAAGGCGTTCTGGAGGGGGAGCGGGGTGAGGGACATGAGGCGGGCCTGGGGGCGGTGGGTGGCGGGTTATGGATACATGGGCGGCATTGCAGGGTGGATAGGGGAAGAGCATGAGAAGGAGTTTTTTGTGGCGAGCGGGGACGAGACGGGGACGTACGTGCAGGAGCTCGTCGTTGATCCACTGGTTGCGGACTTGGGCGTTCATGAGGAGGGTGACGGTGTGGATCTTGTGGCAGTCGAGGCGGATGGCGCGCTCCCTTGCGAGCTGGATCGCTCTCTCGTTCTTCCTATTCACGGGTCGCAGGATGGTCAGGCAGGTGTCATGTACGCAGAGCGCGGCCGTTACGCACTTTGGGTCGCCCTTCTTACCGAGAGTCTTTATGGTGATCTCCAGGTGCGGCTTCTCCGAAGGACCCTCTTCCTTGTCGCGTGTTTCGCCATAGTAGTCTTGGATGTTTGTGGGCGTAGCCGAGGCGGAGGGCTGAACGCCATCGAGCGCTGCGGCTTGACCGACCTCGACTTCCTCCCAGTCGAAGTCATCCTCGCTTTCCTCGCCGAGGACGGAGCTGTTTCTAACGTTCATGGCGAGACGAGCGTACGAGTGTTGCGGTGAGCTAGATTGGTTTGCTCTTCGGTCTAAGAGTTCGGCTCTGCTGCCGGAAGGCGGAGGTCGGGGCACACCGGGTATTTGAGACTTGGTTGCACCGCCGAGGGCTTCAAAGCGACTTGCGATGGACTGCGTACAACTGCGATAAATACGGGTTAAAAAGCGTCGCAGCCCCGGGCGACTCGTTGGCAAGACACATTAAGAGAGAAGCAGAGTCTGCGGCGGCGGCGGACCCGCTCGATCTGCCCTGCCAGGAGCGCCCAGTGTGGAGCCGCGTCGCTGACTCAGGACGCGTTGTGACGCTGGTCCCGTGATCTCGGTCACATCGCATACGCGCATAACTACTTTCCTCGCAACTCGCCCGGAGGAGCGGCCAGGCAAACAAATCCGCGTCCTGGCCTTCTGCTGCCCCTGCCTGAGACCGCACTTGGCATGCTAAATATTTCCTTGCCGTTCATCTTCTTTCCGTGGATCCCTGGACAACGCCTACGGCACAGCTGCCAACGCAAGACCCGGAGTCGACTGATGGCACTCCCATCATGCGCTCCTGCCAGTTCCACCAGTGACATGGTCGTCCATCTTCGAGCTAGCTAGGCATCGAAGCATTCACCCATCGACGGTTCGTCTGAACTCTGACTATAGCACCCGCGGCTGCCTACACCTTCCATATGGACCGTATGGACGGCGACCCAGATAGCGTCCAAATGGCGCACGTTCATCAACGCCTCTTGCCCCCGACTCCCCTTGACGCACTTCTCACAGAGAGTATATAAGGCTTCAGAGAAGCTCGTGTAGCCCCATGTCGGTCTTTGACTCCTTGCTAGGCCACATCACGCAATCTCCCGATCGCTTCCAGTGCTTTACAGCGCTCTAGATCTAGAGTCAAGACAGCGCTCCTTGCTGCTAGCACGCCGTGAACGCGGCGACCAACGCCAATAACCAGGGCACCACGTGCGAGTCCCCTTTGTCGGGCCGCACAGTGACAATCACCGCCAAGGTCCGTCCTTCTAACCTTTCTAATTTCTACATGAGCCATACACAGCGCTCACGCACGTCTGCTTCTCCTCTGGGGCACATCTGGGTTCTTCATCCAAGAGGCCCACACGAGCGACGTCCGCGTCTCAAGCGGCATCCACGTCTTCACCTCCTTCAAGACCGTTCTCGCTCGCCTCGCAATCGGGGATCCGCTCTCGCTCTCGCTCTCCGGCAATGTCGCCGACTTCCGCTCGTCCAGCGACCCGAGTTTCCTCTTCGCCATCGAGCTCGACGACCCTACGGGCATCGTCGTCCACTCTCAGGGGACGCCATCGCGCCGCTTGCGCTCGGGGTCGACGGGCCCTCCGACTCAGGCACTGTCTGGGCCGGACGCCGGGGTGGACAGGTGTTCGTCGGTGCCGAACAACGTGACGCAGGTGAAGGGGGATAATATTTCGGCCGACGGAGTTCGGGACGGAGTGTGGAGGGCCAGTTGGGGACGGTGAAGAACGCCATCGTGGCGGGCTTGAACGATTCGTTCGGCGAGCTCTGGCGAGTGGAATGTCACTGGGAAGAACAGTCGCGGGGGCTTGTCCCTAACGTTCGGTACATCTGAGCTCTTCTTGTCGTGAGTCTGAGTCTTAGCCTACGCGTGGAGGAGCTGCTCGTCCAACTCCGAATTGCTCGAACGCGTGTGCAGGTACGACAGCCCCAAGTTCAGCCTCGTCCCCGGTTCTCCCGCCGGCGGCTCGCTCGACGGGACCGATCCCAAGGCGGACAGCGACGGCGCCATCACGTTGACGTGAGCTCCCGCTTCTCAATGCGCATAGACCTCGCTTTTTGGTGCAGCTTCAACCCCGGTGGCACCGAGCTGACGAACGCGGCGTGGGACGGGAGCCGCAAGCCGCTCGTCGGGCATTGGGAGGCGCAGTCTGTGGTGCGGTTGTTCACTATCAACGTCTACCTGACGGGGACGCTCGGCGGGACGTCTGCACGGGACGACCCACAGCCGCCGGAGGAGGATGTAGACAAGAGGACGAGGCAGATCGAGGTCGTAGCGGCGAGCGATGCTGTTGCTGGGCGCCTGCCATTGGATGCGGACCGGTCAGGTCGCACTCACCTCAGGACTCCTCTCTGACGCTATCCGCCTCCCAGAACTTCGTGCAGAGCATGCTCGACAAGGACGAGGACACGAACATCGTCGTTGCTGGCGACCACAGTGAGCACACGCAGACGCGGTCCGCGTTCGCGGCGTACGGCGGGATGGTCACCGGTCGCAGCAGACGTGCCTAAGGTCGAGCGCTACACGTACCTGTTCGACCAGAACGCGGAGCAGCTCGATCACGCGTTCGTGTCGAGGGGAGGGGGAGCGACTACGACCCGACCGTTGTGCAGCTGATGATCTGCTGAGCTTCAGGGCGATGGAGATCGTGGACACAGGCGACACGAGAGATGCGATGTAATGTACTGACACCAAGCATGAGATGCAAGGGTACACTGTCATTTGCATCGCTGTCTTCCTCACCCCCCTTCATGCCGTTCCTGACTACACAGCCCGGCTATACCGAGCTCCGTACCATACCCTTGGTGTCAAGTTGGTGAAGTGGTTGAGCGTCTCCACCGGCTCCGTGCTTCGCTCGGGTGCGCGCTGTCATGAGCATTACCGCGTATACCAGCTCAACATACACGTTCGGCATGCGTTCTGGGGAAATCTTCCTTGACGTGACCAGCTATGGGTCAGTGGGAGGCCTAGTGCCTTGAAGAATCAAGGTTGTGACACTCCATCGCAAAGCTCGGCGCTCCGGATCGGGCTCCTTGCTATGAACAGTTGACGCGGCTGCCAGTGCCGGGAGCGGACGTGCCGGACGAGAGTAATGGGCTCGAGCGGTTTGTCCGGCATGAAGGAAGGATTGTGTAAGGTGACGGGAGGCTGAGGTCGTGGGTGCATGGAGGGCTGGCAAGGCAGGTGTCAGCGTCCCTGTCCGATCCAAAGGCTCGCTGACGAGCAGGTGCGACTGCACCGTGCAACAGATGCGTGCGGCACCTTATTTGTTTCTGAGGGCCGTAGTACTTTGGCGCACTCGGGGTCGCTTCTCGCTCCTGTGTTCAGGGATTCGGAATATATGGGGCTTATGGCCGCTCTCGTCACCACGGATGCGCAAGTGTCGACGGTCCCTCTCAGAGCTCGGTGGTGCTCATGCGGGCGACTCTGCTGTGAGCAGCAGCCTGTCAGTTGGTCCATTCTTGACAAGATCGCGGCATTGGATCCTGCTTGAGGCTGTGAGGCTTTGCCGAGCCGCGGTAGGCTCCGTTGTGAACTATAGTCTCCAGTGCCCCCAGTGTCCGAGCTTGACACTCCCGGGACTTCAGTGAGTGGCCGAAATACTTAGCGCTGCACTGCGCTCATCGCTCATGTATGGGTTATAGCACTATCTTCCAGTTCTCGGGGCAGAAGCGGAGACGACACTCCTACTGTGCGTGCCTAAGTGACTTCTCACATGCTTGCAGTCAAATTGGCCGAGTGGGGTGCATGTCCGAGGAGAGACGCAGGATGTACGAGGGCGTCGGTGGCGCCAGGTTGTCAGCCAGTACGAACTCCAGGCCCCACGTCCATGCAGGAAGACGGTACTTCCTATTCCCCGCTCCGACCCTGAAACGTCCTTCGCCATGGGCGTCGTACTCCGCCCTTTGGCGAGGCAAGACTTCTCCCAAGCTTGCCTACGTCCCCGCGTCATTTTCCTTCTCCCACCGCAGCGGCACTGCACATCGGAATCTCACGCATCAGCTGGTACGAGTATGCTGTAGTTCCTTACGAACCTTTGGTATACGTCCTTCCGGAAGCATCGGTCTCGCTCACCGAGAAGACGATTCCCACCTTCCTTGCCTCACTTGAGGAACGGACAGTGCCGGAGCTGGCGGGACGACAGGCATGCTGCTGGCACAGGGGTAGAGTTCCGAGTAGGCAAGAGAGCTCCGCAGCCGCTCTCTATAAGCATACATGGTCGTATATATACCACAGCAGCATGGAGTGCCAGACGCCGCTTTCAAGTAGTCATGCCCCCTCTCCTTGCTCCCTCGTTGTACCTCTCTGCGACACTTGGGCCACGACATGCCCCACAGCTTGGAGACACATTCGGTGCGGTCCTGATCGGGAACTTCGTCGGTCTCGTGTAGGTACATCCTATACTCGTCCCCTGCAATTACTGATTCATTTTCTCATGCTCAAGAATGTACGGTATCACGACATGCCAGACGTATAGGTATCTTCGAATGTATCCAAAGGATCGCCGGTGCCTCAAAGCATTTGTACATATGATAGCTCGACTGGCGCGCTATATGGATGCTGACATGCTTCTTACAGGTGCTCGCTCTACTGTTAGACTCTCCTGCTGAATGGCTTTTTTGCCGTGAAAGACTCACAGAAACTTATAGGGCTCTAGACACGCTTCACCTGATAGAAAGCTCGCATATGTGGTACGGAAGTTGTAGGGATGGTTCCAGTTTACGCCGACTGAGGACAGATCAGCTACTACTATTTCGTCACGAACTACTTCAACCCGTCAGCTCTCTTGTCCGGCACTTGGTGAGGGAGTATTCTGTAGATGTGATATGTTGTATGCTTCCTCATCTACATCGGCAGGTCTGCGCGGGTGCGTCTCATGCGTCTCATCGGCGAGTAACACGGATTGACGCTCTGGGCAGCTCCTGTCCCCCACTATGGTATGTGGTCTTTGATCAGCTTCCCCGTATTGTCATGTCGACATGGCCGATTGTGAAGGGCGTAATAGTCCTCCTGACCCAAGCGTGAGTCCCCTCTACTCTTCACGACTCATGCCTAGACTCATGTATTCATAGATTCTATATTCGACGCTTGTATTTGTGTAAGAGGACTCTCCCATAGAAACACCGCATGAGAAATCTCATATGCCATGTAGTGAACCAGCACCACTCCAGGCTGGTCCTCGGTTTGGTGAGTATGCAAGGCCGCTAAATTAGCCCGTGTTCTGAAAATAAGGAAGGTGCCTATCATGGTAGCAGCGATGGGTGTGTTCTTTCTATTTCAATGTGCTACAGACGTCTCATTTTGCATTGTATGTAGGATTTGCGATCGGTGCGGTAGTCGGGATACCAGTTCTATGAACATTGCTAACGCATCGTTCTAGCTGCGGGTGTGGAGAGGTGCGCGGTCACAAGTGTTTCTACTAGGACGCTATGCTACAACATTTCCGTGGATCGTTGCAACAGCTTCGAAAGGGTCACCTATTCTAATTGGAATCATATAACGGTATGTGGCCCTCTCTCTCACCGCGGCTACAGCGATTTACATCTGTGCAGTGGGTGGACGCCACAGCACTTGCGATAGCTGTAGCCGTCGATATCGCTCTTGCCGGTACACTTGTGGTGGTACTGCGTCAGACCCGCGTAGAATATCGAAGGTCTGTGGCACCTTTCAAATGTGTCCATCACATTTGGCTGAATCCTCTTTGAACTGAAAGCCTCGATTCGATGCTGGATACGCTTAGTCGTTATACTCTCAACACATGTATGTGCACTAGCACCTTCCCCTCTAGAGCTAATCATATATTCGGTATAGGTCTACTCACTACGTACTACCAATCCCTCCCTGTACCAGAGATCGTACTGACGAATGAATCAACTACAGCACATTGAACGTTGCCGCTCTGATCTCAGTAAGACCCAACTCGTAGCGTGTAGTCAACCTCGCTCTAACACTGTACACCTTTCAGATGGTCGCCAGCAAGCACACTCTCCTCTACATCGGGTTGATCATCCCAGCCACAAGATGTACGTTCCGTCGTCAAATTCACACATATCTGGATGGCTAATCCGTCACACTTCAGCGTACCCGACCTCAGTGATAGCCGTGTGCGTCGGTTTCCAGGCTTCGTATTAGTGAATAGCTCCTCAGAAGCCACATTCTTAGCTTGAATTCGCGCAAGTCGTCAGTGGAGCGGAGATACCAAAGCTGTGACTGGGAGACAATTGGGCTGAGTACCCTCCAATTCTCGGACCCGACAGTGAACATGTCGGTGGGATCTCCAATCGTGAGTGTGATGCCTACCCATATTCACCATAGGATAGTACTGATCTCCAATATGCGTCGCGGCAGCTGCGACACCACGCTTCCACCGTAATCCAGATCAAGGTTCATACCGATAAGGAAGAGAGGTCGGAGACGGCTTCGGAGATCATGCTTTAAGCCATTTTCTATTACTTGGGATACAATTGTATAGTATGCGCTCTTATTCCGAAACTCATATCGCCACTAAAAACATCATTAACGGCATGGAAGGAACAAACCACCCGGGCCACGCAAGCCTACGAACGGAAACGTATTCGTGAGCTCACGGGCGGCTCCTCATAAGACCAATTCAACGAGAATCAAGCGAGTATTAGACGTGTAGCTGGGTAAAGTGGTGTCTGAGCTGCATACCACTACGTAAGATGCAGCCTCTAGGCCCTACTACGCTGAAGTTCACCTAGGCATCTCACCTGCCTAATATGGCGGCCATCGCAAGGCGTCGAGTCGCCTCTCCCAATGATGCATCATGAGTATATGATGCGGGGAGCGGGGAGATCTGGACTACTGAGCCTGGACATAGCAGAGACCTGTAGTTACGACTAATAATTGAGTGCTATGCAAGGAGGTCGGCGCTTCCAGTTCTGGCGTCTTGACAAGTGGGGAGCCCTGAGCTTGTGATCCTAACAAGCGTAAACACCACTTGAAAGTAAGTATTCAAGTAATTGCGTCACTGGCAACTGCGAGTGTCCCTGTTACTTACCATGCGTGGAACTGACGTCGATAGAGCTATATAAAGACGGCTACTCTCAGCATGATGACGCCCGTATATACTACTCACCTGGCTCCTCTACCACATACTCGAGCTTATACAGGAAGACGCGCAGGAAATCAGGCAAAATGCAGTACGCACATGCGGTAGTCGATTACGGACTGCAGAATGCGAAGCTCGTGAGCAATCGGCGAGGGCGGAACGCATAGACCGCCTGAATAAAGCTGGAATCCAGGTGCAACAACGTCAAGTAGGCTGGCTCACGAAGAATCGCAAGACGGGCGAGCTCGTGCGCGAGCAGATGCCGCTCATGAAGAAGGCACGAATGCTGCTACTGTTCAACCCCGTCACGGAATGGGTGGACAGGACGCACCTATTTCGCTACTTCTTGCACGAAAAGACGGACCACTCGAAAAGCAAGGAGGTGCGCTTATCTGAGCTTGAGTGGTGTGGTGCCAAAGTTGAAGACGACTGCAGGAGGATCCGCGATCAAGGGAGCAGATCAAGGCCTTTGTGGATTATTACAAGATTGATATGAGCCAATTCGAGCCGTCGGATCTCAACGCGTACAAGGTATGGTGCTAGCATGTGATGCCTCAGCATGTCGCTGAGAATACTTGTAGAGCTTCCAAGACTTCTTCATCCGACACCTGTATGCATTGACAACGACCTAGCCCGTACAAGGCTAATTGTTTGTCTACAGTAAACCCGGGACGCGCCCCATAGCATTCCCAGATGACCCTTCAATAGCAGTTTGCGTCGCGGACTGCCGCATGGTCGTATACGACACCGTCGATGACGCGCACAAGCTCTGGATTAAGGTGGGCTGCCTACCATCCCCATCGCTCCTGCCCCGTATACGTTGCATGGGTAATCCCTGACGTCATTTTCTATGATGGTTGAACAGGGCCGCAACTTCTCCATCGCGCAGTTGATTCAGGACAAAGTCGCAGCGCGTCCCTGGGCAAATGGCGCCGTGGCGTCCTTTCGCCTTAGTCCCCAGGACTACCACCGCTACCACTCGCCCGTGCGCGGCCTCGTCAGGTGGTGGAAGGAGCTCGATGGAGATTACTACTCGGTACGCTGCCCTTGCCTGACTTCCAGTCGCTGTGCACTGAAAGAGGTTCCGTCAGGTTGACCCGATCTGCATTCGCAGCGACATCGATGTCCTCGCCGCCAATGCTCGCAGCGCATTCTGCCTCTCGACTAAAGAGTTTGGCGACGTACTCTTCGTTGCGATCGGGGCACTCGAGGTTGGCACCGTCACACTCTCTCCCAAAATCACTTCGGTACTTCCGGGCTCGCAGGCGCCGAGGCAGGAGGTTGTCATCGAGAAGGGCGAGGAAGTCGGCTTCTTCGAGTTCGGGGGTAGTAGTATTGTGGTGGCTTTCGAGCCAGGGCGAATACGGTTTGACGAGGACTTGAAGGAGGCCAGTAGAGACTTGATTGAGATCGACGTTGAGATGGGGATGCAGATCGGGAGGGAGACGGCCCCAAATCTGTGAGACGTTCTCGTGTTTCTGATTTTGAAGCAGCCTAGATGGAGCACTCTTTTTCAATCAGGAAGATATAAGCTGGTGGGATGAACCCCACGTCTTGGACATTTGTTCTGTACATATCTCTTCAGTTCTTACCACGGTCAAGACGTTAGTGAAGGGCATCACAGGGACTTGCTACGACGGACAACCAGCTGCAGGAATCTCGGGATGCGTATGTGCCTATGTTTGATGTTCCTGCAAGACATAAGAGATAACTCGGCGTATTGTGAACTGGCCTGCATACCGACATATAAATGTCAGCCTCAGGAATTCGCTGCGGCTTCACCTACCTTGCCTCCGTACCACCACTCCTTACCCCACACGCACCTTCACCAGCCCACACCTTCTCTCGCTGCTGCGCAGTACCCCATAGCTATGTCTCTTACCCTCACCACCTCCGCCTCCACCTTCCCGGTCAACTCTCCTGGTGAGATCATCAGTGCCGTTTCTGAAAAAGACATCCTTCAGGCAACCCTTGTAGGCGACCAAGTTTGCGATCCGTTCGCAACACCCACCTCCGCCTTCAACTGGGCCGACGACGTCGAGGACGAGTTCTTCTCCGACGACGCAAGCGAGGCCACCCTCGACACCAATGAAGTCGACGCCCGATCCTGCTCTTTCGACGTCGACCGGTTCTTCGCTTCCGATGCCTGTATGTTTGGACAGTATGGCCACTACCTGACGACGATATTGGAAGAAGACGAGGACGAGGAACAAGCCGACAACGAAGATGACGAGAACCACGAGGAAGACGACGAGGACGACAACGAAGAACACGAGGATGAGGACGAGAAAGAAGAGGGCGACCGCTCGGCCGCGACCGACCCGACCAACTCGACCAGCAACCGTAGCCTTCTCCAGCGCATCTTCCTCGCCAACGATCGGTCCAAGGTCGCCTCAAGGCCCTCACTCGACGACATCAAGGAGGAAGATGAAGAGGACGGCTTAGAGAACGACACTGACGAGGCGGGACCTTCAGTTGACAGCATTGACCCGGACTCTGAATCGACGGATTCCGATTCGGACACGACCGACTTCGACGCGACCAATTGGGACGACTTGAACTTCAACCACCACGACGCCCACTTCGAGTTCATGGCCAACCACTTCGACTCACTCGAATTCTCGCTTGCTTCGATCTCGACCGTGGGCGACGATGAATGGCAGCGTGCAGCAGGCGATCCAGACTCTGGCTGGGTCTGGGTCGAATTCGAGGACGACGAGCAAGAGCGACGACTTTCGGCGTCACTTCCTTCTCGCAAGATATGGGGATTGGACTGGCGGCAGCTCCTGAGGAGATTGTTCATCGTCTGAGGGAGCTGCACGGTAAGACAGAGGTGGGGCGTGAGGGAGAAGTGAACGGTGGGGTGGCTACTTGCCGTTCATGATCCTGATCCCACTCAGCCACTGGCTGAGCACCGAATTCTTCAAGTTGGACATCGGCGCGGTGACTCGGTTTTCTCTTCGTGAGGAGTGTGTGGTGTGTTTGGCGAGGACGTCGGGCTGGCCCCTGGTGTCCCCGTGCGGCGTGGTGTCTTTCTTTCAGAGCGGTCCTTGGTTCCGGCTGTTCTGTTTCTGGCTCTGGTTCGCGTGAGATTGCTTTGGTTTCGACATGTTTCGGTTTCGACTTCAAGTTGGTCGGTTTCGGCAGGCTCTATTTTCGGTTTTCCTTTTTGTTTCGTACTGTTATCAGGACTGCGGCCTCCTCGTATTCGGTTTCGGCGAACGGGGGGATTCCATCCCATATCCCTTGAGGAATGGTGACACCAGAGGCTGAGCTGGCAGGGTAAGGGACTGGGATCTGGCTGCACGGGCGGGCGGCCGGCGGGTGGGCATCATCTCAGATTTCGAGTCTTGTGTGCGCATGTGTTCGTGTCGCAGTTGGGTTAGAGGCGACGTCCACAGAGCAGGACGAGCGCCGGTTTTGACTCGGAAGGGCGTGGCAAATTTTGAGTTCTCCGGTTCTCCCCCGTGGGGAGCACATTGAGTATCGCAATTTGGCTTGAGCAGAACGGGGTCTTGTCATACCTGCCACAGAGAGGGTGTCTAGGATGCCGGATAATTTGGAGTCTGCGATGCGGAAGACGCCTGAAGATACCGGACAATGCACGAAGTTGCCATCATACGAGCGGTAGTGCCTTCCTTCGGGTCATAGGCGCGTGGCGTGCATTCGCGACTCGCTGCCGGGTGCAACGCGCACATGTATCCTGTTGATGACAACGTTCCTTGTACTGTTGCCTAGTATAATATAATTATCTAACATGAAGCACGAATTACGATGCACCTGCCACTTGTGCATCGATGCCGCGATGTCCCTCGAGCGTTGCCTCGGAAATACCTGAGTCCTGTTTCTTCCTTCCATCCTGGTGTTCGCTGTTTTGTTGCATCATCTGACCTTTCTGTGGAACAACTGCAAAAGCAAGCCGGGTTCTAACAACAGAGCAACTCGACATCACATCACGTCACGTGTTTACGTGTCTACTAACCAAGCTCAAATTCGTCCTGATTGGCGCTTACTTACATTTACACACCCCTCCGTCCAGTCGAAGCGTACTCGAATCGTACTAGGAATGTAAGTGACGATAGTAGGCATGCATTCAGTAACCCCTTTCAGACCTATCAAAATCAACTAAGGCTTGGATGCTAAGTCCTGTGTCCTACACCCAGTGTAAGCCGAACAGGCGGATACTACCTTCTCTGAGTGAACACAGCGGACGTGAGTCTTTCGGTGGAGCAAACAGGGTTCCGTTTCATCAGCCCACCTGGAATACGGCACCGGCGATGCTTCACACGCACAAGGATATGTGACGATCGGTAGCAGTCGTCAGGGTACCAAACAACGGCCCGCCAGCTCGCCCCACGGTTTGCTTTCCGTCCCACAAACGCTCCCAACCACTACGATCTTCACCTGTGTCCTCAAACGCGATCTCTCCCCTGGATGTTGCAGCTCGTGTTCCGATCCCTTCTTGATCCGCGCCGTACCTGCCATCATGTTAGCAATTGGGACCCAGTTTCACACCATCTTCGCAATCCTCGCCACATTTCCTAGCCCGATTCCCCACATCTGGCTCTTCTGCCACGTCTCCATCATTGTTGCGTACTCGCTTCTGCCTGTCATCTCAGATGTCATCGCCCAAGGTGCTCTCGAGACGATCTCCGACTGCTGCGGGATCGACATTCCTCTCTTCCTTCTCCTCCCGTCACCTGGCTTAATGGTCGTATTCTTCTGGTGTGTTTTGCTCTTCTAGTGGCCATGGCCGCTCATGTTCAACTCTTTTGAGGTCGTTGGAGGAATCATTCTCAACATCGACGTCAAGACGATCTACTCTCTCATACTACACCGGCTCAAACTTCAGCGGAACAACGGTCCTGGTCGACAAGAGAAGTACGAAATCGAACTACCTCTCCTACACCTAGATTACGCCACGATACTCTCTGTGATCATCCTCGCATGTCCATAGTCGTGCACCCTGGTCCACACAAATCACCTATCTTAGCCGAACGCAATCTGGAGGTCCTCATCGCCGGCTTCAATCTAACGGGAGTCCAGAGAAATCACCAGGTGTCAGACCTGACCGCAGAGCTAGCCGCCGCCAGACACACTATCGCCTCCATGACGGCTAGGACAGCCGCTCTCAGGGAAGAGAAAGACGACGCGCTCACTCGTGCCAACACTCTCGAGAACGCGAAGGAGTCCTGGAAGATGCGGGAGAAGGCTCTGCTGGCGACCATCGAAGACCTTGAAGCCTACCCCACGCGTTTTGACGATATGCGTCTCCAGGCGAGGCTCCAGGAGACGGAGAGGATGCTCGCGCACGAGATCGCGCTGAGGGCGTCGGCCGAGGACGAGTTGACGAGATATCGTGACGTCGCACAGGCCCAACTTAGGGAGCTCCGTGCGTCAGAGGTATGTTCCCTCCGCATGAGCTTTGCTGGGTTATGGTTGAACTGCTCTGTAGAAAGAGAATACGAGATGTGTCAACGAGCAGGCGATCGAGATTGCGATGCTCAAGGCCCAGCTGCTAGCCATGCAGCAGTTCAACCTTGCCGCCTTGGGTACGAAACCTCGAAGGACGGTATCGACGTTTCCCAAATTCTGGAAGAAGAGACGCGACGTCAAGGTCGACTTGGGGATATCCTCCAGTACCTCGAGCCGGACGATTACCTATACACTCAAACGATAGTTTCTCGCATCTTTACATATGTACTACGCGTTACGCGACGTTCGACTCGATTACACGGCCTATCATCATCCGTACTCATTCCACCGTTGCTTCTTGGGACGCTATGGCTTGCGCTCTGTTCCCTTTATCTCTTCATGCTTGTATGCGCCCATTTTGGGGTTCGCCTGGATTCCTGTCGTTGTCTTTGTAGCCAATGATGCCACCACATACCACTGCGTCCGTCCGCCTCCCAGTCTATCGTAATTCGTTTCTGTCTCTTGACTTCTTGACTTCTGTATCGGATCACCCGTGAGCGGTTCTTTCACCCTCTCCTGGGTTTTCAAATCTTATATGATTCTAGAGTACCTTGATTCGCTCGCCTGTCAGTTTACGCTTCGTCTTCACTGTATCTTAACCATGTGTCTATGCCCGTTTCCTCGTGTTGATATCTCCTCAATATTTCCCCCAGATCATCATCTTACCGATATCATCACTTCATCTTAATGGAGTGTCTGAGGTCAGCTCAGAAGATTCTCGACCTCGTTGTAGCCTAAGGGGATGGATGTACTCACAATGTCAATTGACGGTAACCTCGCATTCCGTTCAGGGAAATCAGCTGCTACATAGCCGGCACATCGCCCAATCCCGTTAACGAGATGCGGAGTCCAGGAAGATCTGACAAGGAGAGTGCAGCCTGAGACGCATTGGATTCCTCTAGCGAGAGATGGTATTTCCCGAAGCATACAGATGCAATACAAAACGTCCAAGAAATGCGCAACACTCATGACGTTCAACTGCGCCACAGAATCGACCTAGCAAGAAACTATGCAAGATAGGTCAAGAAGATGCTACAAGATTGGCGAGGTTGAGTTGGAAGCAAGTCCAGCATGCACTATCTGCCCCGGCGTCTCGACCATGCGACCTAGTCAACGTAGAATCAACGTGGAAAATTCGTCTAACGTCCTTTGCCATCTATCGTCTCGACTTATGCACTCCTGAGAATCGTTTGCCATGGAGATCAATCTTCCACACGTGTGACAAGTTGCGTCGAACATCCTTGAAGGCGAAGTTCGTGTCCGGATTCTTCGTCGCTAAGTCGCATGCGCCTGTTCGTTCGGTGTGCGTGCGGCTCCGTCTGGTCCACGAACTCGTCGTCTAGGGAAGCGAGTTCCGTGAGGGCGTCTGGCGAGAACGGATCGCGTGCAAAGCTAAGCGACCGAATGCTGAGACTCTGGAAGGCATCTGATGCCCCATCGGAAGAGGAGCACACCACTTTCCTCTGGTAAGCTTCTTGGAGATCGAGGAGGAAGTGAGCCATGAGAACGGATGAGATACTAAGAGCAGGATGATGACGTGAGCGGTAGAGGGGACGGGGCTGGGAAAATAGCGGAGCTCCTCACGGGCTTACGAGGACGGCAATTATGCTACCTGGCTCATCAGTCAAGACCTACAGCAGGTTTGGACAATTAGAGGAGGGGACGCAAGGTGGAATGGAAGGGCACGAAATATGCACCGATAACTCTGTGGAAACCAACTGTAGGATGTTGAGCATCAGCAGTAGGCTTGCGATGGTCGTGAGTGGCCATATTCATTCATGACGACACCTATGCTCACATGAAATAAAGTGTCCCTGGATTCCTACCCATGAGTAAGCTATGAGCGAGGCACGCGATATACGACGCACCGTCACGCAGCATGATATTTATGAGGTTCCCGCCATTCAGAACGCCCCTTGAATTTAGCTCGGAACGTCCAGGCAAATAGCTCCACGTCATTGCAATGAGGAAGGTGTCAGCAAGAATGGTGCTGGATCGGTTGACGATTGTAACTTATCATCGAGAAGTGTTAGTAGCCGAGAAGGCGGAGTAATATCATCACACGAACATCTATAATAAATTAGCGTGTGGGCGACATCTGGTGGCATGTAGACTACTTACATATGACCAAGGCGGACCGGAAAGTTATCGGTGACCAAACACCCTAGCATGGGTAACACGACGCCGGAAACATTATACGCCACTCGCGTCTAGTCGATCCGAATGTTCGTTCAGTACTCGTTCCACGTAGCAGGGATGTCTTACCAGATTGGTCGCGAAAGATACAAACAGGAGAGAGAATATGACGAATGCCAGGATTCGACGTCGACTTAAGGCGTATGCCCGCGCAGCCGAGAACACTGAAGAACAAAACATCAGTTCACTAAGGGCCTTATCTTCAAGAGATACACTCACGTGCTGCAGGAATGAGCGATACATATGCGACTACCAATGATACCGGGCCGAATCTAGCGCAGCTGCAGAAGTCAATGGTGAGCATGGCATGCCGAACTGTCAAGGTTGCTGAAAATACCTCTTGGGGGGAAGGGGCCAGTGGTCAGCGCCATGAAGGTCATAGAGATACATGAGCAGCATACCTCGTATGACAAGGCCCTAAACTGATGGTACGTCGAGTAAAGCTGCGCTGTTATGGGAATATATCTGATACTGAAGTAAAGGCAGGTAGACAGAGTGCCGGGTCGCCTTGTCCAATATGACCGTACTTCGCGAGGGAATGCGCCGAGCCAGTCGTACACAAGGAAGGCTTCGTAGTATTCACTTAGGATGAGCAGAGCCTTACATGCTGAACACTTACTTGTGAGAGCAATCGCACAGTAGGAGTTGGGGAACCTAGAGAGCGTAAACAGTCACGACAATCGTGATCAAACAGTGCAGCAAAGAACTCACATTTCAGCGTACACCGCTACAATCTCATCGGCAGAAGAACCTTCAAGTGGGGACGCCATGTTGGAAACTGAAGAGGTTGTGGAGATGCATGAGAACCTACCACTATCCTTAATATACGACTGGCGAGCATCAGCTCATAGGCTGTTACGGGCAATGCTGTCGGCGTGTCTCAGCAGCCATCGACCCGGTCATCGTAGTTCCGAGTACAAACTTGAGCATACGTGCCAGAAGACAGAAGAAGGTTCGTAGCTCGCACTGTACCCATGAACCTATCGGCGCATACAGCACGCTCTCAGTCTGCCGATGAGAGATCTACCACAACCACATCGAGGATCCTAAAAACAGAGGACGGCCGTCAACGGAATGTTCGTTGATGGAATGTGTGATCATACCAGGGATATCCCATACACGGGCTCACAAATGGTAGCCTAAGATACAGGTCGAGCCCTTCCTCCACTCAAGTGGGGCGGGCCTGGACTGATCCTGGTATACACTTTCCATACAGATATCTTGTCCGAAACAGCATTTGACGGATCCGTATTGTACATTCTCTTAGTTCTTCTAGTATTAGTGGGGACGCGTGTGTCCATATCTCGTCACATAGAAGCCCACCCCGCTGCTATCGCGGCGCTTCAGCCCGTCCTCCTTGGGCGGTCTCGTCAGCGGGGGATACGTCTCCTCCTTCGCCCCCGGACCAAAGTCGAACACGAACGGCCTCGACTGCGTCGCACCAAAGAGCCGCGAGCTCTCCAGCTTCACCGAGTACACCGGCGAAGAGTCGTTGCCAGGCGCATGTACGCTCCACCCGCGGTTCGCCGCGCGGACGTCCCAGAACGCGACCACGCTGTGCCGCGCCGTCCCCGCCGCGATGTGGCACCCGTTGCCGCCGCCGGCAGAGACGTCGTAGATGGGCTCGAACAGCCAGGGGTCGCACATGCTCATCACCGGGTAGAGCGCCCCACCGGATGGGTATGAGGACACGCCGGGGATGCGGTGAGCGCGGCGGGAGGACCGAAGATCGTGCACGTTCACGACACCATCGTACCACCCCGAGATGACCACGCTCTCGGACGCACCCCAGGGCGCGGATCGGGGCGCACCGCTGATGCCGTATACCGCGGACGCGCGCGGGTGGTCATCGTGCGTGGAGTTTGTGAGGATGTGGGACGGGGTGGACGAAATGCGGGATTCCTGAAGGGCGTGCACCGTGAGCGGCGTTAGTGACGACGCGCCGAGGACCGCGTGTTTATTCGAGAGATGCGTGGCCCAGCTGCGCACGCGAAGCTCGATGAACTGCGGTGGAGAGTCGGTCACGGAGTTCGAGAAGAAGACCGCAGTGCCGCTCGAGGACAAGGAGAGGATGTGGTCTCCGTTGGTCGAGATGCTCTCGACCGCGTCAGTGCCGTGATACGGCTTCTTCTCCCGATGGGTGGCTTCGGGGTGGACGGGGCTCTGAGCGCCAGGCTTGCACGCGGGCAGAACAACACGCTCGAGCGTGCCATCAGCGTATCCCACGTATACAGTGCGATCGAACCCACCATCGGGGACGCACTCTATACTCGTGATATCGCGGGCGGCCTGCAGGACCCTGTTGGTCATGTACGCGCACTCGAACTGGATGCTCGGGGCGGAAGCCGGGTCTTCTGAGCGCCCGAATTTGTATGAATAGATGTGGCTAGCAGCGGCTACGAATAGGCGAGAGCCATTAATGGCGAGATGGGGTTGGAGCTTGCCCGTCCATTTGGACGCTAAGGGCCTCGCGACGAAACGGGGGGCCGACCAATTACGATCGGTGATCGTGTGATGTCTACAGAGCGTGAGGTCAGTATGAGGTGCGTTTGTCAATGCGCAAATGTAGATGACGATGTCAATATATAACATAGATCGCGCCCGTGAGGTGACGGCGACGTCGACTACGCAGTCGCTAGCAAAGTAGTTGGGGAGGGAAACGGGACACTCGCGTAGGTCTCTATCGCGATTGTCCTGTTCCCTCGGGAAACGGCGGCCAGGGACTACGAGGAATGGAACTCCCTCAGTCCTGGTAGGAATGCTTCTGCACGAGGCTCATAGAGGATGCGAAGGTATGTGATGTCATGACCACTCAGGTGGGAGAGACCCTGGTGGACTTCCCACCGGAAGAGAAAGTTTTCGCGCAACGATGAAACTTATGTCCAGTGAATTTGGAAAGGTGGATTGATGGATGTCATGACCGCATGGGATTGACAGCCAAATGGAAGACGCGATGACTCATCAGAAGAGACACTCACCGGACCTGTGCGTACGGTGTCCAAAGCTGCAGGGATTTGGATAGGCTCCATGCAGTCCGAGAGTTCGCCTTCAGATGGATCTTCCAGCCATATTCGTTTACCTGAAACACGCTCGCATGTTAGTCGCTATGCGATGGGCTCGAGACATACCAAGGTAAAAAAATATCGTGACGTCTGTGCGAGCTTGGCGAGGTCGGCGACCTCGAGATGGTGGAGGATAGTGATCCAGATGTCACTGGGAAGGACATCCGCAAGCATGGGAGGACCCAGCCTGAGTCTGCCTTTCCGGACAGCTATAGCGGATACGCCGGATCTGTAGTAGCGTATGCAGGACATACCAGAGATAAACTGTGATGGTTTCGATCGCTGTTGCAGATCGTGCTTTATAGGCCAGGGAGCAAAGTTGAGTGGCTATGTCTTATGAGGAACGCTTCTCGTGCGTCAAATGTCGTGTCGCAAGAATATTCTTTGGCCGCCGGCAGTTTGAGCAGCTCTACAGCGTGATTGCTGTTCCGGAGCGGTAGTGGCAGGATTGGGTTTGAAGCAGGCTTGGGTGGCAGTCGGTGAGTTGGAGCGTGAGATGGAAGTGCGTGTCACAGCCGGGCCAAGCCCGGACTTGTGGGCCCAAATGCCACAAAGTAATAGGCGCCGGGCGTACTTGCTCGCGCCTGCGTACTGCCCGGCACCTGTTCCTCCTCCACTACGCGCACCTTACACTCTCACCGTAATACGCCTCAGCCTTCGTGGCATTCACCATGCGCAGAGATGTGCGGATTCTTCTGGTCGGCGATGGTGCGTGAATCTCGTGTGTTCGCGTGTGACCTGCGTTTTGAGGAACAGCATATAGACGGTGTCGGAAAGAGCACGATCGTCACGTCGCTCATCAAGGAATCCTTTGTGCCTCGTGTACGTCTCTGCGTCCCCCATAGACGCGTTCCAAGCTCGCATTAACCTTGGGAGGCGCGCTTACACCGTACTCTGCAATTTATCCATTCCTGCCGTACAGGTCCAACACGTCGTCCCAGAGGTTACCATTCCCCCAGAGGTAACCCCGGAGAATGTGACAACATACATCGTCGACTCGGGCAGTGAGTACCGCAACTCTCTATAGTTGTCTGCCCGTCTCCGTCTTCCATGCACCCAATCCATCCGATGCATCGCGTAGCCGCGGTAGCCCGGGCCTGCCGAGCGTTTGTGTACTCACGGCGTTCGCGCGCAACACTACAGGTGGAGACAACGACCGACAACACCTTGAGAGCGAGATCCGCAAGGCGCATGTTATTTGCGTCGTCTACTCCATCGATAATCCAAACTCCTTTGATCGAATACCTACCTACTGGCTACCCTACTTCCGGCAACTTGGCGTCAATGTGAGTCTGCCACATAAACATCCTAGCCTTCTCCTTGACGCTTAGTGTACAGGTACCTGTGATCCTAGTCGGCAACAAGATCGACCTCCGTGGCGGGGAAGTCACGAATGAGGCCCTGGAGGATGAGATTATACCCATCATGAACGAGTTCAAGGTGTGCCACCATTCCTGTCAGTCTCCTCGGCCATCCGGATCAAATAGCAATCGCTAGGAAGTTGAGACATGCGTGGAATGCTCCGCAAAACTACCATTGAACGTGTCCGAAGTCTTCTATTTTGCTCAGAAAGCCGTCCTCCACCCAACCGCACCTCTGTACGACTCAAGAGATCACGTCAGTATGTCCCTGTGGCAACCATCGGCGACAACGCTCACCATTTTGTTTCCATAGGTCCTCAAGAAGGATTGCGTTGCTGCCCTCCGACGGATATTCAAGCTCTGCGACACGAATAAGGATGGTATCCTGGACGCGTCCGAGCTGAATGAGTTCCAGGTAAGATCCGAAGGTGGCTCCGGGGGCATTGACCTATGATGGCACACAACGTCCTGTCGCAATTTCATCCTCATCAGAGCGACAGCGGCGTTGCAAAGCGTTTCATTGTCGTTTTCCCATTGTGTGATAGTCATGGGGCACGGGGAGAACGTGCAGAAAAATGCGCGTCTCAGGTTGCCTCGGGTCGCAATATGTCTACGACGGCGTCGTCCCGCAGGTCGATGCCCCGGTCTGAGGCGACGTGTTGGATGTTGACGTGACGTGCTTTTCGACAGCGGAAGTGCTTCGATGCCCCACTGCAGGCGCAGGAACTCGAAGGCATCAAGGAGATGGTCCGACAACATTCGGAAGGCGGCGTGCGCGACAACGGCCTGACAGAAGAAGGCTTTCTGTACTTGCATACTATCTTTATCCAACGCGGCCGACTGGAGACCACTTGGACAGTGCTGCGGAAGTTTGGCTACGGGGAGGATCTTCGGTTGACAGAGAGCTTCCTATACCCAAAGTACGCGTCTTTGCACGTCATTCAGTCGCCCAAAGCAGTGCTGACGCTCAGACAGGTTCGATGTGCCATATGACTGCTCAGTAGAGCTCAGTCCGCTGGGATACCAGTTCCTCACGGTAGTCTTTGAGAACTACGACAAGGACCAGGATGGGGCGCTGAACAAGGAAGAGCTGGAGGAGCTGTTCAGCACATCACCGGGCAACCCATGGGCCGGCCAAAAGTTCCCCGATACCACTGTCGCAGATGACACCGGCGCAGTCACGCTCCAAGGGTGGCTAGCGCAGTGGAGGTTCGTACATTCCTCGGAACGACTACGGCCTAAACTCACAGCGTGCACTTGGCGTCGCAGTATGACAACACTGCTCGACCACAGAACCACGCTCGCCTATCTCGCATATCTTGGCTACCCCGATGAGCCCCGGACAGATGCTTTGCATGTCACCCGTCCGAGGAAGGTTGATCGGCGGAAGGGCAAGTCAACCCGAAACGTATTTCTATGCTACGTCTGCGGAGCGGCTGGTTCCGGCAAGACTTCTCTACTCCGGGCGTTTGCTGGAAAGCCATTTAGTCCAACCTACGAGCCAACGAAGAAGATGAACAGCGTAGTGAACTCGGTGGACATCGACGGGTCGGAGAAATATCTCGTAGTACGTATTTCGAATGTGGCGTCGGTCCCCACGTGCTTACTGAACGTGCGTTTAAGCTGCAAGAGTTCGGCTCGAAGTACGAGGCTGAAACGCTTCGGAACCCGAAGAAGACCGACCTCGCGGACGTGATCGTGTACGTGCATGACTCGAGCGACACGAATTCGTTCTCGTACATCAGTAATCTTCGGGTACGCAGCTGTGGCAACTCTTCTGTGGCGCTATACAATGTCGTGGTCTGATGCGAATTCATACCGTGGCAGCAACAATACAGCCTCGACCACATACCGACGCTGTTTGTAGCGACCAAATCGGACCTCGACCTCGCGCTGCAGGTACGTACCCACCTTGTGGCCTTCCGTCAGAAATAGCAGCTACAACGTGGCGCGCTTGCAGAGACACGAGGTGCAGCCTGACGTCTACTGTCGCCGGCTATCCTTGCAAGTGCCCATCGCGGTCAGCGTCAAGACCGGGCAGACGGCGGACGTGTTCCACGCCATCTGCAGAGTCGCGATGAACCCGTGAGTGCATCGTTTTCGGTCCTGCCTTGCCTGGCGGTCTGCGCGTAGCCGATCACAGCGTGTTTCGTGCTGCAGTGCGAGCGCGTTGCGGCACGCCGCAATGTGTTGACGCTACAACTGACATGCGCCGCGTTTCTTTTCGCCTCGCACGTATTTTAGGAATTCCGCCATTCCAGGTGGGGCAGATCGTGCACTCACGGCGGCTGCACGCCTGCGGACGTACGCCAAGCTAGCGTCGATGGTGGGCGGGCTCTCGACGGGGTTGTATCTCGTATTCCGGACATTTGCACGGCCTGGTGGCGGCCAGGGTACATGGAGTGTGGGGCAGTGGCTCGCGTGGTTGATTGGGAGCTCGGGTGGGAGGCGAGAGCTGTAGACGTATGGGCTACTACCTTGTTCTTCTCGACGACGATCACGACTACGGGCAGACTGCCACTGGGCTGCGCGCACACAGGCAGCCGCAGTTGGACTTGAGCATTGAAGTGCAGATGCACGGTGTGAGGATTGTCGGTGGATCGACCTCGGCAACGGTGCGAGGGAGAGAGATTAGATGGGAGATCCACGCGTCACCGGCAGGCGGCTGAAAAGGGCAAGGGAGAGGGATCGGCTAGATCCGATAATCGACAGACCTGGCGCACGGCGGAGGCGTGGCGTCAGCAGGCAACATAAGTGACATAGCCCCCATGCGGACCACAATACCTCCCCAGCCAATACACATCCGTCCTTGCCAACCGCTCTCATCTTCTACCACCTGACCACACTCCGTCTCTGCACCAGAGCACCCCAGGGACACTGCAAGATACTGCAGATACCAGCGAAGACCCAAGTTACGACCTTCTGAACGTACGATTACGCGATAATCATGGATGAAGACATGGACATGAGCGCGACTGCGTCCCAGCCTCAGCCCGAGCAACAGCTACCTCCGCAATTATTTGACGATGGCCGGAAGATGCTGTAAGTAAAATGCATCTTCCACCCACTTCTTCCCCATCTGTGCTCCTGCGTACCCTGCTTCCTTACAGCCCGCGCTTCGCGTGGAGCATGCGCCCCTCTCCGCTCACGTACACTAGCTGACCCGCTTATGTCTCACACAGCGACCTCGTCTTCGTGCAGGACTGCACAGGCAGTCAGGGTAGCTACATCGCTTCGGCGACGAAGAACATTGAGGAGATTTGCAATCACATCTACGAGTCAGGCAAGCTTCAAAGCCGCGAGGACCTCCGTATCGGCCTCGTCGCATACCGCGACCATCCGCCCCAGGACCACACGTACGTGACCAAGAATTTTGGCTTCTCGTCCGATATTTCGGAGGTCCACAAGAACCTCTCCACTCTTTATGCCTCTGGGGGCGGCGACGGCCCCGAGGCGGTCACCGCCGCCCTTGCGGAGGTGCTCAACATGGACTGGCGGCCGTACGCGAGCAAGATGGTCGTTCTCATCGCGGACGCACCCCCACACGGCATCGGAGAATACGGTGATGGTAAGCTCTGCTTTTGCTAAGGTCCTGCTCATTTTCTGTGTGCTTGACGCAGGTGGTAGGTTTCGACGAGGGATCTCCCGATGGGCACGATCCCCTCCAGGTCGCAAGGGAGATGGCTAGCAGGGGAATCACTTTGGTGCGTCGTGCCTACGCTCAACTTAAGCCATGCATGTCGCTTACCGAGCATGTGTAGTTCTTTGTTGCGTGCGAGCCTGCACTCAGCGGCTATTCGGTGAGCATGCCTTGACCCGACTACATCAGTAAATCAATCCTAATATTCTGACGTCATGCACAGTATGCGACCGACTTCTACCAGGCACTAACGAACATTACGTCGGGCCTCATGCTTCCGCTCACGACAGCGGACCTTCTCACACACGCCATCGTCGGCAGCGTGCTGGAGAACCTCGACATGGAGCGTCTCGTACGTGAAGTCGGCCAGGCGGTATCCCAGCGGATACTGGGCAACAACGAGAGCGTGGACGACGTCGCGCGAGAACTTCACGAGAGGCTGCTCCTCCGGAACGAGAGCACAAAGAAGGTCGTGATCGAGAGCATCTACCGCGAGTCTGAAGAAGCGAAGCACAACGTCAGCATCTACTTCAACGCACCCAGCCTTGCCGAGGCCAGGCCACATCTCAAGCGAGTAAGCATCGACAACCGTATTGGTCGGCCAATGGCTATTGACACGTTTCGAAGGTTCCTGGCACGCGTTTCACGGACAAGTACCTCCATGCGCGGATGTCCTCGTCAAGAAGCTCGTATTACACCTCGCCCTACTCGCTTCCCCCACGGCCCGCGGAGAAGACTTCTCCGACCAAGCCGGCACCTTCGTCACCACCACGCAAGGTAGTCACAGACTTCAAGGCGTTTGGCGCGTCGCCGACGGCGAGTGTCTTTGGCACCGCAGTGCAGTCAACGCCATTCTCGCTAGCCGGTGGCAAGGCGGCATTCGGCGGCGTGCGTACCAATGGCCGGTCGACGACGTTCGATGATGACGACGATGATGATGATGAGTCTGGAGGTAGGCAGAAGGTCGAGCTGAGGGAAGACTCGATCACGCTCGATCAGGTATGTCTTATCTGCCTTAAACATTTCTGCGAAGTAGTGTGCTGACGATCCTCTTCAGGCAAGGCGCATTGCGTTGCAGAGTGCTTGGAGAGGCACCCGTATGTAAATTGTGGACTGGGCTGCAGCAGGGCATACTGCGATACTCTTGGCGACGGAATGCCGATGCTCTGCCCGTTTTACCCATATACGTATGTTGCGTCCTGAACAACTGTATTATTACTCTGCATCGTATCCAGGACCATCTCTTACCTGTTCTCTTTGTACAGCCGTCCGAGCACCGGAGTTGGATGATGGATCTTAGTATACTGTTGGTATACAATTGCTGTTCTTTACTTCCCTCACCCTGCCGCAGTGTTAGGTCCTCCTTACGGACCACGCGGCTGCTGGTATCTGTTTTCTTGCTTTCTCCTGGCATCACTCATGTCGCTACCGTTGTTACTCGTCACCTCTGCATTTCCATCTTCACTCTCCTGTTTCTCTTCTCTTCCACGCAAGTACCCAGGCAAGGTATATGTACGACCGAGGTGCCTCTTTGCAATACGTGTATATAGCACTCCACCCCGCCCGTTGTACAAGTACGTAGACTTCTAGGAGTAATGTATAGCAACGTACCACATATCACATCTAGACGAGACACTCATAGACGATGTGTAATACAGCAGATAGATAGCGAAGTATATAGCAATTCGATGCAACAGGGCCTGGGTATTCACGACTTCTTGGCCTTCTTTGAAGCCCTCCTGTCTTTCAATGAGGTGTCAGACGAGTTTCTAGTCCGTTTCGCGGATTTCTCCGCTTTCTGTGTAGGAGCTGAGACCACTTCCCCTCCAGCTGATGTCTCCTGCGAACCAGACTCTGAGCCTGATTGCGCATCCTCTTTCGCCTTCCGAGCTGCTCTCCTTTTCCGTCTCTCCTCTTTCCGCGCTCGCTTTTCCGCCTTGAGCCTCTTCCTCTCCGCCTTCTCCGCCTTCCGAGCTGCCTTTGTTTCCCTAGGTTGCCTGGCGTCTTCGCTATCATCATCGTCCGGAGCCTTCTCTTTGCCCTTCGACTCGGACCGCTTCTCATTCCTCTCCTTCTCCTTGGGTTCGCGTTTCCGACGTCTCCGCTCTGCCTTTCCCTCATCCTCCACATCTGCAGATTTCCGCTTCTTCCGCTTCGACTCCTTCGACGCCTTCTCCACAAGTAGCGGTGCCGAAGCGGATGATGGTTCCGGCGAGTTCGTAGTAGAGACCTGCATCGTCTTCTCAACGTCCTCAGTGGAGAGCACGGGACCGCGATAGAACATCGAATAGAGCATCCGACGGGCGGCCTGCTGTTTCGCTTGTGCCATGATACTTAGGCGGGGGATGACAGCGCCGCTGCTCTGCGGCTCGGAAGGGGTCGTAGTGCCTGACAAGGCTGGGGTGCCGGTCGTCGGTCGGCGGTTGGAGATTATGCCTGTCTTTGTGCGCTGGAGACTTAAAGCCGGCGTCGTGCTGCCCTCGGAGTCCTGTACGAGACCTGAGCGAAGTCCTGAGTCAATCTAAACATTGTGTCTTACGGATTCATCGTCTGAGTTGTGGACTTTGACTTGAATGCTGACTGAAGCCGCTTGAAAGACGCTGAGTGTCGCATGAGACGAGTGCACTATCGACAGAGGCCGGAGACGTACTGGTCCCAGAACGGAAACGCCTCATCGCGGTCCTTCCCCACTCCTGCCAGGCTCTTCTTCTGGATGATGGTTATAGGCTTGGCGATTGCGCCGCTGCGGAGGCCGGTACCCTTCCCAGACCATCCTTGGGCGACAAGGTGTGCATGGCCATCAAGAGGCATCGCCGAGTGTGTAAGGCCGCAGAGCAGGCCGAATTCAGTATTCAAGACAAGTGCGGGAGACAGTTGAGGAGAGGAGAGAAAAGAAGACGGGCCCACGTGACGTCGGACGCGCGCAAACGGCGCCGGTGGCTGCGTTGTGGACTCCGTGTCTCTCAACATCCCACGTCCCTACGTATCCCCGCCGCCCTCGCACCATGTCAGGCTCACAGTCACGCAAATACTCCGCAGAGGAGAAGGAGCAGCTCCTGGCCAATCTCGATCTCGAAGGTCAGTATCTCCTCCTGCTCCGCCCAAACACATATATTCCAACGCGTTACGCGCGATGCAGTGGCACACAAGACGCGACAGTTTGAAGACTGGCTGGAGGACACGCTCGAGAACTTCAGGCGGCACCAGGAGACCTTGATTTCGCGCATGCCGCGCATCGTCCGCAGCGTCACCATGCGAGAGTTTGCCAAGTACAAGGGCGACATCCAAGCGGCGGTCAAAGGATTGTCTCGGGAACTGTTGGGCTCGGAGGACGCGACGATTGACTTGACCACTCGGAAACGGAAGTGGGTCGAGAGTCAGGAGGTGGAAGGGAAGGAGGAGCCAGCAAGAGGTGTCAAGAATGGTAGGGGAGGCTCTGACGCGTTAGATAGGTTGATGTTGACAATGGCGAAGCTCGTACAGTAGTCGCCACGCCCAAGAAGAAACCCGTCGCAAGTGTTGTGCCCCAATCTGCGCAGAAATCACGTCTTCCGATTACCAAGACCCCAGCTAAGGTCCGTCCTCGGTTTGCCCCGGTCTTATGTCGCAAGCACATTTATCTAACCCATATCTGCGTAGACACGTAACATATCGCGCATACCCTCCGGCGCAGTGTCACCAAGTCCACAGAAGGGCGTGTCCAAACCTCTCGGCTTCCCCCGCACACCCTCTCGATTTGCATCTCCTGCCAAACCCTCACAAGCCCGTGCTACCAACTCCCGTGTACCATCATCATCAACATTCAACCCCGTCCTCCCCTCAGAAGCCTCACATCCACGTTGGCCACGCAAAGATGAGCGGTTACGTAGCGCGAACGGTTCCCCTCTGGCGAACCCATATCAACTAGACCTCAAGAATTGGTTCAAAGCCGTTACAGAAGAACCAGAACCTGGTGATTCGGGTGGCAAGTTACGGCTCAACGACGGCGGCACAGGTGGAGGTGGAGGCGCCAGGACATTGAAGAAGCAACGAAGTATTATCGTCCGCTCCACATCGTCCTCATCAAGTCTCGCAGCGGCGTCCCACGGATCGCATTCACGATCAGCATCGCAAGCGAGCACACTCGTGGGCGCGCATTCACCCACTCAGGAGCAGTTTGGCAAAGACCAACGCAAGGGGAGCACCGTCGGGGAGCAGGTCCCGCTGGACGATCCATTTGTTAGCCCATCGTTCTCTGCGCTCGTCTCTGTTCAGACGAAGGACGGACACGTCCTCGAGTTCAACCCCCTGCAGACGTCACCGGAGGAACTCGATGCGTTGGAAGGCATCACGGACAGCGCGAAGAAGCAGGCGAAGGAGGATATGGCACGGATGATACAAGCTACATTCGAGAGGTGGCGGATCAGTTAGGGATCACACGGCCCTTCGGCTGTGCCCTGTCTCAGTGTCTCTTGTCACTCATGGACCGCCGTCTCTCGCATTGCATCGTTTTGTCTCGTTTCTTTGCATCTTCCTCAACCATTCGCGTCTTGTAGTCTCCCCATCGTTGAGTGTATACATACAGACAAGCCCGACTGCTGCCCTGCTACTCTTGAGTCTCAACAACCCGCACTGATACGTCCGCCATGTCAATGCAAGAGCTCCACTAGCGCCGCCCGGCAACGTGTCTCATGACGATTACGCAACTTGACGAGCAGCTTCGTATCGTTGCGCAGCCTGAATAATGGCCGTCATCTTTAAAACAAAGTAGCCCGTGATAATGCCGAAGGATGCGTACCTCTGGGCTTGCTTGCGCAGGTCCAGATACTGCGAAAGGGGTATAGCGCCAACCGCATGTCCTTCACCAAGCGAGAGCGAAAAGTTACCCGTCGTGACATATCCAATGATACCCTCAGACGGAGGAGGAACCTGTGATAGCTACGATGTACGCCCCGTCAGGACTAGCACGGGGAGAAGAGTCGTTGTACACACCTCAGTCTCGTCGGGCCCATCTTGGAGCAACGAGAGCCCATTTTTCTTATTCACTTCGGCCCTCATCCACTCCTTCGCCTCGTCATCTCCGACGCGGTAGATGATAGCCAAATCGTCGGGAAACCCTCGCCCGCACAACGTAATGCTGACCTGAACGAGCGCGCCCTTGATCAAGTCGTCTGCATGCAAGTTCACCGGAAGCGGGTCAAGCTTGCGTTTCGCGCGCGCCTGGTTGACCTGACTGAGTAGTCCGGCGGCCGGGTTCAGCATCGACGAGACCTCCGCTACAAGCTGTGGGATGTCCGGGCCCCTCAGCAGCCATATATCAACCTTCCTATTTCCTTCCGTTGCCGCCGCCTCATCAGCGACCATCGGGTCCCTTTGCGTGTCTAGGAGCTCCTCCGCTTCCGGGTGCGACTTCGCTGGCTCTTCGATACCAAGCACGACGCCCCAATCTGGCCTCCACGGGCTCCTCGTCCCCAGCTTCTCGTAATTCGGCCGTTTCGCTGGGGGCTTCCGCTCCCATGCCTCGCGTTCCTCGTCCTCCTTGTCCTCGGCGTACACGTCGTACGCCTCTGTCGTCGGGAAGTCGCGCGGGAAATATGTGCAACCCGCTTCGAACGCCTGTGTCTGGCGTTCACGTTGTCCGCCGACGCGGGTGCCGGTATAGATGAGAGAGGACAGGAAGGGCATGCCCCAGCCCTGGGGGACGATCAGCGTCCAGCCGTGCAGGGACGTCGTCGACGAGAGGCGGGGAAAGTTTTGAATCTGGGAGAGGGCGGCATTCTCCACCGAGCGTTGAATGAGGAGAACGGGGACGCGGTCGTCGTTGCGTTCGGACTTCAGCGGCGTTCCGGGGACAAGGTTCTAGAGAACGCAACAGCTTTGGAAAGGATTTACGCAGACGAGAGTGCCAACTTACGTTTGATCGACGCTGGTCTAAGTCTTTCTTCTTGTACCTCGGTTTGCGCAGGACCATCCGGACATCTTCGTCCCAAATCTGGCTTTGAGCCAGACAAGCAGAAGGAAAAACGGTGGACGCTGGCGAAAGCGATGGTCCACTCTCGATATTCAGTTTCACGTTCTTAGGCGGGAAACTGGGGGTGTATCAATGACATCTGTATATGGTTTCTTGCAGATCGCCTACCTGAGCCTCGGGTCGTGGACCGTGAAACCAATCACCATCCCTCGCGGCACTGCGCCTGCGGACTGTATGCGGTTCAAAGAGGTCCAGAACTGCGATAGTGCAATTAGTTCATGCATGAGGTTTCCCGCAGACGTTGCAGCCCTACCCGCTTGAACTCGTCTCGCTTGTCGTCTACAGGTTTTAAGGCACCCTTGATGACCTGGCTTGCCTTTGGGCCCATGATCTCGAACACATTGAAGTGCTCTCTGAGGTCCGCAATTTCCACCTCAGCAGTGCGTCCCGTCTGCTTCGCCGCGTCGAGTGCAAAGGCCGTCGAGACACGGAGCGCCTCGTGTACCTCTTCCGTCATCGAAGGATGGACACGGATCCAGACGATCCGGATACGCCGCTCTGGGTCTACCCATGGCACTTCCTTCTCCTTTCCATCGCCTTTTCCTTTGGCGTTCGTGCCTCTGATAATGGCAGGGGCCTGCGGCCCATTCGGCCCTGGAGCGTCGGCGTGCCACATGATTGTAGCAGGACCAATGAGGCCATATGGATACTTGTTGTATTCGTAGATATAGGTCTCAGTCGCACGGGCACCTGTTAGAAACCTATGATTCTATGAATACCGGTACCACATGAGAGCGGCGTCAACAGACCTCTTTGCACCGGCGCTGGGTCCTTGACAGTCGCAGCAGTTGGCAAGAGCCTCACGGATGATGTCCTCAGGACCCTTGAGCTCAATGGTAGCGAAGTAAGAAGCATCGTGTAGGATAGACCCATGCACAGATGCCCTATGTGACGGCCTGAATGACTTCTCCGTAGGCGTGATGGCCTAGAGAATGTAGCCATGAGTACGCGTTGATTGGACATCAGGTCATTGGCACAGACCAGTCTGTACCCCCACATGTTGTCCATGTGCATCCTCTTCGCATGCCATATATGCGTCTCCAACCACGTCTTATCCTCTAGAGTGCTGACACATGAGCGACATTGCAATTCAGCTCAGCAATATTACTCACTTTGTCGACGGAGGAGGGCTACAGTGCGCCGCACCTTCTTGAGTTTTCCTTGTTTGGGATTATTGCGGCCTAGTGCTTTGCGACGGGCAGGATCCATCTACATTGTAACGTGATTGGCTGAGCTCCGAGTGTCCACTCTGTATCCGAGGACAAGACTCACTTCGGCACGAGCCTTGTCTCGCAACCTCAGGGGAACTCGTCGGACATCATGGCTTGCGGCTCGGCGACGCAGATGTCTAGGGAGCTGCTGCCAAGCGCGCGCAGTAGAATTTGACCTAATAAACACGCTGGTGAACCGAGGCCATGCAGCGAAAGGGCTTCTTCAGACCTAGCGTTATGCATGGCTTCGTGCATGGCGTTGATTTCGAATGCCCGGGACTATACCGAGCGATCGTGACACGGTTGCGCATACTCGATACAATGATAAATGCGTACCTCTGCAAATTTCTCCACGTCTATCGCACCTGGGAGCCCCTTCATGCCTTCACGAACCGTCGTCCGTCTCAGGCTTCCTCCACGGGGACACACTTTCAGAACCACTTACTGTCGAGACGCACGGACTTTGATGGGCCTGCCACAGCATTTCCACCGGTACCAGTGGGATCTGCATCCTGCTGCACTGCGATAGTGCGCGCGATCGCGGTTTTCTGTTTCTTACGCTCGCGTCCAGAGAGCTCATCGGCCGAGCGGGATTCATTTAGTCGCTTGGGAGCCATGTGGGGATTCACAAGTTGCTACTTTATTCCACAAACGGATGTTATATGCCAGAGGAACCGAACGTGAAGAGGAAGGATCAAGGACACGGGTAAGTCCGCACGCGACAATATGACGGTCGAAGAGAAAGTCTGTGGCTGGAGGCACGCGCTGGCGCCCAGTGCTAGTGAGCGCTTCGAGTGCGATGCGTTTGGCACTTGCTCTAGAATCTCTTTGGGAAACACTCAATACATGAAGACTGACTGTGAGTGTTGAACCTTCGAGACAACTCTAGCCTAATGTTTGCATAAAGTGAAGGGAAAACCAGAGATGGGCGAGGGACTGATGACACCGGGGGTCAAGCGTGAGAGAGTCTATGGTTTCCCTACCGATTGCATGTCATAACTTCAGGCATTGTAGAATTCACTAGAGCCAGAACTCTGGAAACTGAAATAGAGAGAAAGCCTGAGCCATTAGAAGAAGTCACCGCTGCCGACTTTCGGGGTCCTGGGGTCAAGCACATCTCTGGGGAAAACCAAACATCTCCTTGTTATGTTTTACCATGACCCTGTTCCGCTCATGCATCAAGCCATGTCTATCCGTTTCGGCAATGGGCATCCTCCTTTGTGATCGTTCCCATGAGTGCATAGTCTGCCATAATATCGAACAACTCCCTCGGCAGCTTCTGCACGGCGGGAACTCGTGTTAACTCGTCCATATACCACTCGGGCGGCACCCGTGAGGTCGAGTCGACAAGACCTTCGTGAAAGGGTCGACAAGGAAGAAGCACAAGATCTTCCTACATCCCGGCTTCGTCTTGTCCGCGAGCTCGAATGGCTGCACGCGGTACTGGTAGATGTTCGGGAACACCACGCACTTCCCTTCCTTGGCGACGATCGACCCTAGCTCCTGGTTGAGTGCCTCCCTGTCGACGAACTCGTACGCCCATCTCCAGCCCCTGTTGTCGTCAATTATGTACGGCATAGAACTACCCGTACTTTGCCTGCAGACCGGCGTGCGGAAAGCGAGTCGCGACTCGGTGATGTTCGAGCACGCGCTGTATGATCGGAGGCCTTACTATGATGGGGCACTTCGCGGCTCTAAGTCCGTTGTATATCCATATCTACTATTTTCATGATACATAACGACCAAGGCCCATGTTGTCCAGTAAGCCTATGAGATGAAGGTTCGGGAATTGAGCGACCACTTGTGAGTAGTTCTTGAACAGTTGGGAGCCTCGTGGCCGAGAGCGGCTGATGGTTGTCCAAATGGGGAAACGAGCAGGGAAATGGACAAGTGGTCCGAGAACGCGTATTTCTGGAGCAGCCCGAGGCCAGGAACGCTTCCTCCTCCCCACACGCCCCCTCCTCTCCACTAGGCACACAGATCTCCCTCTTTCTTTCCCTGCACACCCTATCATGTCTGGCAAGCGAGACATCTACTTGGTTATCGGCGGCAGCGGCTTCCTTGGACGGCACGTCGTAGAGGCCCTCCTCGCTCGCGGGGACTCTGTGTCGGTGTTCGACATCGTTCAGCGTCACCACGACGTGCCGTTCTACTCGGGCGACATCAGCGAGGAGGAGCAGGTCTCGGACGCGTTGCGCAAGGTGCGTCCACGGTTGCCCAATTAGTGCTCTCCGTAAACTCAATGGAAAATGCCGTACAGAGCGGCGCGACATGCATCATCCATACGGCGTCACCTCTTCATGGCCTTGACGACCCTGCGCTCTACTGGAAGGTTAATGTTGACGGTACCCAAGCTGTCATCAATGCCGCGGTGGCGAACGGCGTGCCCAAGCTCGTGTACACAAGCTCTGCTGGCGTGGTCTTCGACGGCAGTGATTTGATCGACGTCGACGAGAGGATACCCGGGCCCGAGAAGGCGATGGATCCCTATAACGAGTCCAAGGCGAAGGCGGAGGAGATTGTGCTGGCGGCCAACGGCAAGGGCGGTCTCTACACCGTCGCGCTACGGCCAGCGGGCATCTTCGGGTGAGTCTTCCTTGTTTCCGAGCTTCCAGCGCACGTCTCACCGACCGCCCTATGTCCCTTCGGACCAGGCCCGGTGACCGGCAAATGATTGCGGGTCTATTCCAGGTTTGGCAGCGCGGCCAATCGCACATCCAATTGGGCGACAACACGAACCTTTTCGACTGGACGTACGTTGGCAACTGCGCATACGCTCACCTCCTCGCCGCCGACAGGCTCATCCCCACCTCTGAGAAAGATGCTCTCCGCGTCAAGGACGAACTCGACATCGCGCTGCCCCCTATCAGCGCCACCCTCCCGCGACGGCGGGTGCCTACCTCTCTCGCCCGTCCGCTCGGCCCGTACGTTGACCCGCCCCCGAACGCCGAGCAGATCAAGGCGAACTGGGAAAACCCGGACTACAAGGCCCCAGTACCCCGCCCTGCCATCCGGGGCAAGTTTGATCAGTTCTCTGAGGCCGCGCTCGCGCGGGAGACGGTGTCCCCGCTGCAAGTCGCCGGGCAGGTTTTCTTTATCACGAACGGCGAGCCGACGGGCTTTTGGGACCTGCCCCGGCTGGTGTACGGCTTCTTTGACAACCACTTCCAGCAGCCGAATAACAAACGGAGATGGATCCTGCCCCAGCAGCTCGGGTTCATCCTTGCGAGCGCGGCGGAGTGGTGGGCATGGATGGTCGGGAAGGAGCCGGGCTTTACGCGGTACCGTGTCACATACTCATGCGCATGGCGTTGCTTCAACATCGATAGGGCACGGAGGGTGCTAGGTTACGAGCCGCAAGTGGGGCTCGAGGAGGGGATCAAGAGGACCTTCGAGGTGCGTTCGTTACATGCGCTTTCGTGTGTACATGCGAGCTATTGCTCACAAAAATCTGTAGTGGTGGGTAGCCGAACGACAGAAGGCCGGGAAGGCCCAATAAAAGGCAGTACAGTCGCCATGCGTCACGGTTTGCCATGATTACGATATCTTATACGCCCTTGTGCTTGGTTATACCCTTACACGCCCGCGTGGAATGCTTCATGTCACGTCAGATAATACAGTATACTTCCTGCAGGGGCGTTCGCGGATACCGGTCTATTGAGCATGACTGCGTGCATTCGAAAAAGATGATAGCCTGTTCAGTCGTTGAACATGCTGGAGTCATCGCAAATCACATCCGCTCATATCGTACAACACTTCACCAACGCATCTCTGTATTTGGCCAGTTCATCACTGGAAGGCGACCTTATTCTGTTCCGTGCCAAATCAGTCATTTGGGGCCACAATAAATGGAACATGAGAACATGAAATTAGATACCTTGTAGAATGCGACATAGTCCTTGATGTTTTGAGCCTTCTCCTTGGGCTCTGGGTAATACCTGTTCCCATTCGAATGTGTAACGACCTGACGCAGGCCCCATGAGGCATTCGTCACGTACCAAGCAACATCATTCACTTCCGTCTTACCCCCGATAGTGGCATTATAGTAGGAAGCAACGCTGTTTGTTTCTCGAGGAGTAAATCATGAACACTCTCATTCCCCATATTGCGACTGCTCACCCCTTCCACGGGCACGTAGTGCTGCATGTGACAGTACAAAACGAGGTGAGGGGCAAAAAAGGGCTGGGACACCTTACGACGATACTCACTGCGTGCTGGACTGAGTGAGCACGGAAGTGTTCACGGCGTCCGGAGGGAAGTAGTGGTTTCCCTCGACGACGACGGTGTTGTCGGACTCGGCGAGAACGACGCCATTGAGCGATGCCTTGACCATGTTGTTCAGTTCGTTCACGAAGCTCAGGAAAGGCGAGGCGAGCGGATAGGGAGCGTCCGGAGAGCCTGGCAAAGGAAGGACTTATATAACGCTCGGACAGACTTCTGTGATTGTCCAAGTGCCCCTTCCCAATGGAGTATATCTAAGTTAGTATGGCGTAGCATGAGTACAGCCTGAGTAAGCCGCTGCGCCCATAGCTGTCAGTCTCCATCCAGTAGAGATCACGAGGATCCATTATAGTAGCATCCAAGACGGCCCAGAAACCGGCTACTTAACGCAATGTCATGCCAGGCTTCAGCAGAGTCGGGAACTATACGAATGAATTATGGATGGTATAGATAGCGCCTTACGGAAGGAACCGGCACGGGCTGGAAGTATACTTTGCCTGAGCCGTACCCCGCTGTAATTCAATACATCACTTATCTTCTTGTTGCAAACCCATAACTTCCTCATCGTCCTCGGCAACGTACGACACAGCGGGTGTCCCTCACCACTTCGCCGCACTTCTTGCGGCCCCTACCTTGAGGGATGCCTTCGAAAAGCGCAAACAGCATGATCGGTGAGCAGCACCCTTTCCGCCATGCCCCAGGCCGCGAAACCTAACGCAAATCTCACCATTCGCGTGCCTTCCCTTAACTCCACTCCGCTCCCCGTCCGTCCGCAAAACCGACACGACACGACACAGCTGGCGCGGGAGGCGGCCTCGTCGCCAGCGTAGCGACCTGCCCGCTGGACGTGATCAAGACCAAGCTCCAGGCGCAGCGCGCGGTCCACGGACATGAAGCCTACCAGGGCGTGGTCGGTGAGAACTTCAACCTTCCCAAAAACTCGCGTCTGTCCTCGCGACGCGCACCTTCCTCCTTTCTTGCGTCCGTAGGATGACCCGAGCTCAACGTACGTCCTCCTCCCCCTGCGTCTCCCAGCGACCGTCAAGAGCATCCTCCAACACGATGGCTTCCGCGGGCTCTATCGGGGGCTTGGTCCGACGATCCTGGGCTACCTGCCGACCTGGGCGATCTACTTCGCCGTCTACGATGGGATCAAGAGACATTTTGGCGAACGGCCTTCGAACGAGGTCGACGGTGCGCGGCGTCTGTACCCCGCGGCGCAGGTCAAAGGCTACCAGCCTCTCGCGCGCGAGCACCCGTGGACGCTGCACATCCTCTCGGCGATGACGGCGGGCGCGACGAGCACGATATGTACCAATCCTCTTTGGGTCATCAAGACCCGCTTCATGGTGCGTTCCTCCTCTGTCACCGATCGTACGAGTCGGCGTGCAAACTAAGGATCGGACGTGGTGGGGTTCTGTAGACACAACCACGAGAAGAAGGCCGATATAGACATACGCTAGATGCGGCATTGACTATTTATCGCACCGAGGGCTGGCGGGCGTTCTTCCGTGGCCTTCTGCCCAGCCTGCTTGGGATCACGCACGTTGCAGTACAGTTTCCCCTGTACGAGCATCTCAAACGCGTAGCGGGTGAGTGCAGTGTGCTGCATACCAGGTCGCGTGCCACTAAACTGAAGCGGAATTATGAGGCCGTGAGCGTCACGAGCCCCTGACAGTATCCCAAATCCTCGGGTGCTCAGCCGTTGCGAAGATGACTGCCTCAATCGTGACATACCCCCACGAAGTCGTACGAACGCGTTTCCAGACGGAGAAACGCCCGCTCAGCGAGAACGGAGACAGCCGTGAGCGGGGGCGCCGTGGCCTGGTTCGGACGACGATACACATCGTGAAGCAGGAGGGCTGGCGCGCGCTCTACCGGGGGCTGTCGGTTAACCTCGTGAGGACCGTGCCAAACAGTGCGGTGACGATGCTAACGTGCGTAACTCTGCCCACCTTTGCGGAAGAGAGCGGGTTGGACGATCGCTTACTCCGCCTTTTTTCTTTCTCTTTCACAGATACGAGATGCTTGTGCGGTATCTCAACCATCGATCCGGTTTTTCATGACACGACGGGCGAGCGTTCCGTTCCACGCTGCTATTCACGAGCCGCACGGGTTGCTCGCGGTCGGGTTGGGCGGGTCCGCGCGGGGCAAAACGGGTCGCGGACGGACGCTGGCTCAACACAATATCTCATGCGTGCACCGCTTCCATGCATATGTAGTGCTTTCACATTCCCATGCATTAGAGTCGAGTCGAGACGCTTCTGCAGCGCATCTTGCAACCATATAGACACGGGAAAGTGGGCGGCATTGTATCATATATCACACGTTCCTTCTCTTATCTCCTTCTGACATCCTAGTAATTGCTCGTGTACTCGTCGAGACGTCCTGTAGGTGCTGTAATACAGATTCGAATGGCTTTGCTTCATATCCAATTGTGCAGTGTCACCGTACCGAAGAACATCCGGCGTCCTACCGCCTTCGAGATCGACGGACAGAGGCACAATAGTACGACACCGATCCGAATGATTATGGTCTTTCTCCAGGGTTTTCGGGCCCGATCCAGGAGAGCACGGTGTCCCCCCGCCAGTCAATGCTATTTGCTCGAAATACGGACTGCAAGGCCGTCGGTCGAGTCAGCGATTTCATGTCCTAACGATCACATGAATGGGCTGCGGCAGAGGCGTTGCGCACCCGTACAGTCATACACGGGTCCTCGGGACAGTCAAATGTTGTCGCTCATCCCAAACCATCCCCTACCTGTGCAGCCCATATCGGACAATGCCATCATGTATGGTACACAACAAGGCATTGCACGCCTAAGTTTCATGGTAATCCAACTATGTGTGAGAGGGATCGGGGACAATCATCCCAAATTTCTCTTATCGCACGTCCCTCGGTCCTCGGGACAGCGCTTAATTCCCTCGTATGGAACAAAATTGCTGTTGCCGAGGATAGCCGAGCCCAGATATGGTATGTGGACATCTAAACGCCCGATTGCTTGAGCGAAAGAACTACCCTTCCACACTGTGTCGATGACTATCAGGGCTCAGTGTCAAAATCTCACCATATAAAGTTGCTGAGAGAAGGAGATATATGTCGCCTTGTTGTACACCAGAAATGGGGCACGCCCATGGGCACGGTGAGTATAGATTTGGGCGGGAACCAGTCCCAGATTTGGTTTTCGTGTAAATCTTGTACAGAAACTGGGCTGGTGACTTCACTTCTGGGTCGCCTCTGATGAAATTTGAGGAGAGGTGAGCTGTAAGAAGTCTATATAGATATATACAGAAACCTGAGGTAGTAGGATAGAGGGAGGGTCAGAAAATGCGCAGTGTCCCGAGGACCCATGGTGTCCCGAGGACCCGTGTATGACTGTAACCTTACTGCTGAACGGCTTGAGATACGAGCAAATGACGTCGACGCGGAAGCCATCTCAATATACAGGCAGCTCAGACCGAGTGCTACGAGACTCCCGAGTAACCCGGGTCCATTCTTGTGGACCTGCTACTGTTGCTCTAGCTACTGGAACCGCATACGATTGCACATAATCTTAGCACGCCAGTCCCACACATACCGTTCCCGAAGCCGAATCCAAACAGTACCGCCAGCGGCGTCCATTCAAACATATCCTTATGATATCACCGCGGCGACGAAACCGCAAAGAAGTTTCCAAACAAGTCGGCCGTGCGAACCAGCACTCCACCCGCTCCACAACGTCCACGGCCATCATAGTTGACTGTGGAGCGAAGCGCATACGTCACACACTAGTAGTCGCAACCATGTCCTCAATCGCGCGCATATTGTAACATTCCACAGGGTTGCTGGGGGAGGGGAGGGGGACGAGGGACTGATCTGACGGCCTGCATAATAATTATCGGTGATCGGTGAAGGACAAAAGGAGCGTAGGACGTCGAGCCACGCTGGACGACGAGTTGGGATTGCGGCGGCATGAAGTCAAACCCAGAAGAAAACGGTGGTCACGAACGCGAAGGGGAGACCACTCTTTTTGGAATGTTCAAGAACGACATGGGGCGGCAGCGATGGAGGTACAGGCAAGAGGACGATGAGCGAGACGCAGGTGAGCAAAGTCAGGAGAGGGAAGGAAGGCGAGGAAGGGAGATAGGGGGGAGCGATGCTCGGGTACGAGCCTCGGAAGGAGGAAAGAAACAGACGGGCTCCCGCAACGCCCAGTCGTCCAGCGAGTTCGCATCGTCGGGAACAGGGGGCGCATTAATTCCTGGCGGAAGACCATATGCTCGGATGACCAATGACCGCATGCGGGGAAGGTACGTTGAGGAAAAAGAGCCGAGACCGAGACC